AAATAAGTTCGAATACTTAATTTCAAAGAATATACTAATTTTAATGCTCTAATGATTCTGATATTTTATGTATGAGTTTTTTGAAGTATCGTATATAAAGAATTATCTGACAGTTGCCCACGACGAAAAATTGAGACACCATTTTAAGAAAACCAGCACAAATTTATACCTTCAGTATTATAGGTTTGCCTGAACTATGACAATCGCCGATATAATGTTAAAACAGGTACTCGTTTTAGTTTTTTTGGTATCTTATTAGCTAAAATTAGCGAAAAGTGAGATTGAATCAATTTAAGCCTGAGTACTTAATTTCAAAGAGTATACCAGTTTTAACGTTCTAATGATTTTGATATTTTATATATGAGTTTTTTGAAATATCATATCGCCATGGACGAAAAATTGAAACATCAATTTAAAAAATAAGAAAAGAGGGAAAGAGTAATACAGTCAACTCTAGAGTTGAAAAATGTGGTTCTATTAGCAAGTTTTAAGTTTCTTGTACAGGGTTTCTGAAAAGTATGAAAATGGTGCATTATCTCAAAAAATACTAGGATCTAAAACTAAACATATCTGAATGAAATATTTCCCGATAATATCTTTTCAATGATACAAATGAAACCTGTTAACCTCAAAATCCAGTGTAAGTTTTCGTATACATGTGTGATAAGGCTAAATTGCGTATGAGTGTATACCAGGCAGTGACAATTAATCTTAAAAAAACAACATCAGAGAAGTGTATACTGGGTGTGGCAATTAACTTTAAAAAATCATCTGTGTAAGCATACTCACTCGGTAAATGTATAACGGTCAATGGCACCTTACCTAAACTATCACCAATAGCCCCTTTAACGAAAGAGAACCAGAACCTTTATTTTTTGCAAATTTGGACTATTTAAGACGGAGGCATTTGAAAATATCAAACTTAGAACAAAAACTTAAAAATAGACGAGTTTAATATTTTAGAAAACTACTCAATCTTCCACTTTCTGTTGTGGGATATGTAGTAAAAATTTATTTTTAATATATGCATATATCTTTTAAATGCTATGTCATTGAGAAAATTTTAAAACCCAAATTTTATCAATGAAAAATCAGTTCAATGAATTTACTTATAAAGAATCCAAATCTAAAGCGGAAAAGGGGTTCCTATTTAAGATTTTAAAGTTGCACTCTTTTCCTCATTCATTGGAGGGAACCAAAAAAATAAATAAATAAAAAAGTCAATTTGATTAAACAAAATCGGAAAGGCAGATACATATAAAATTTCAAATGAGTTTAAAACACGATAAATTTATAACCCAAACTCGTTTTCAGGTAAATGTATAACAAAATTCAGTAAAGAATATTATTAAAAGTAAGGTATTATTAAAGAAAACGTATAAAGTCTTTATTCAATTTTTAATAACCTCCAATTTCTTCATTAAGTTTTCTTGAGAATTACAGATCATTCTACATAAAATATTTTGCTTTTGCCAAATATTTATCTGTCAAAAAATTTGATTTCATGACAAAAATCAAAAATAATATTAATGGGGTTTAAGTGTTGGAAACTTTAGTGGTTGGTTAAATGGTGTAGCACATGCGTGCTTTAATTTAAAGTTAAGAGTCACTCGCTATATTTCTAAATTGAATGAGTAAAAAGGAATTAAATTATTCATCTAGCAAATTACAGAAAATAAGGATGACAAAAAAACTTAAAAGTCGAGGAAGTTTAATGTATAATGAAATAGATAATTAAAGGCTTACATAGTAAAAATAAGACATTCCAGATTAGAAGACGCATCATCTCTTCAGGCGAGTCAGTTGGAAAGTGAGAATAGGCGGATTTCTAACCTGTTTACCCGACAGTGTTTTCATCATTTCAGTTTTTTTGGAGGAAAATCCAAAGAATATATAAGTGACATTACACATTATATATTCTTTGGAAAATCGGTGGTTGCCGAGGCAGGCCACAAATGGGTACCCCACTTTAACTGGATGCATGTGTCGTTAACCCACCCAACAATATATTGACAAGGTGTTCTGTATTTACTGCCTTTAATGTATATTTTTAAAATTCTTGTTCTGAATTCAGAAAGTGAAGTAAACATTACGCATACATTACGAGCAGAAGAATTAATATTCAATCGAGAAAAGATCAATATAGTTATTAAAATCTGACAAATGCATGCTAACGGTAGCAGATATCCCCCATCATGACATTGAAGGGGGGGGGAACTGAGAATATGCAGACTATTTTCCATCTGAGATTAAAAAAGAAAAAAAGACTCTTATATTTGATTATTATTATTTTTTTTATCTCTGATTTAAAAAACAAGCCTAAAATATTACTGAGAGGAGGAACAGAAAATTCATTTGAGAAAATTCATTTACTCAATCGCTATTTATTTCAACCCTTTAACAAATTTTTTTTGCCAATCTGCAGAAGCAACGAGAAGCATATAAGCAAAAGAAAAGTGGTGACTTTCAAAAATTCCAAATAGTCTTTTTCAATTATTAAGAACTTTTAAGAATGAGGAATTTAAGAGATCCAAAAAATTTTAAACATAAATTCTTAATTTTTGAAAGTTGCTTGTTTATTGACTGTACAGTCATTTATTTCATTTTTTTTTGAATTTCAGTTATTCTCTTCATTCAAAAGTGTAAATTTTTTGAAATCTAAAATGGCAAATATAAATTTTTAACAATACTTTTTTGTACATAATTTTTAACCTAACTTATATGTGCTAATTTGATGTGCAATTGTTACATTAAGCTTAACTTTTACTTTAATAGTCTTTGTCTGACTGTATTAGGTTAAATTTGAATCAATGCAGATCCACACAGTTAATTCTGTTACAGGCTAAATGGATTCTGAGAATGGAGGAATTTAAAACATCAAAATAAGCTCGACTGTTGGATTGAAAGTCGCAGATAATCATATATTTTTTAAACTCAATTACCTTAAGCGATCGAATAGGCTTTTATGTTTTAAGCGCCTGTATCCTCTATTGTGAATTGTCAGATTTTAATTAATGTTTTGTTCTTTCTTTGCTTAAATATTAATTTCCGACTTCTAGTGTGTGTATAATATTAAACTCGATCTCTAGTGAGCGCATGATCTATTGTGTGTGTAATATTGCGTTCTAAGAATGTCTATTAAAAATGGTAATTGCGAATCACTTTGCATTCGAATATTAAAAAAAAATATATATATATAGAGAGAGAGTATATACTGTTATTTTTTTTCGTTAATTACATGCGATTACATTAATATCTCTCTGAAGCATAAAACAAGATTTTAAGTATTATTCAAAGTTAAAAAGGACACGTTTAATTTTTGTCTCTCTAGAATTTTAGAATATTCTTGAAACGATAATTGAAAAAACTCTTTATAACTTTGTTATTTTATAATTATGTCTATAATAGAAGTTAAACTTTCTGGTTTTGTACTCCTTGTACATTTTATCAATAATATTTCGATAATTATTTCAAATTGGTGTAATGTAATCTTCTTAAGTATTTTTGTTGATAGTTTCATTATTACAGATTATTATTATTTTTTTTATAGCTAAAAGCAGAATCGACGATAAAGCACCACGCACACATCCACATCTGTATTACAAACCAAAGAAACTCCAGGCCAGTTATATTTTTATTCCAAAATTCATAATATATTGAAAACAAAATTTTTTTTTTTTCAGTGGCACGACAGCACATGAAGGGCCAGGCCAAGACCTACTGAGCCAAATCCAGTTTTTTTGATCTTGGATTCTTGGGTCACGATGCAGATGTTCCGGCTTGGGTGATCAGTTTAACGTAGAACGATTCTTTGATATAGAGAGATAAATACTTTTCCGCGTTTCTCTACTCTATTTCACCAATACGATTACATAATTTTTCGATTTCCATCATAGATCCATAAATTAAACTTTTGAAGCATGTTTAGTCTTGTTTAAGCACTCTCTCAAAAAATTTAACTTTTTTTTAATTAATAAAATTTTTCTTTTTTTTCACATGTAAACTTTTCCTGATAATTTAATATAATTAAAATTAAAATTATTGTTATTAAAAAATATATAATTTCATTGCATTTTACAAAATATTTGTAGCATGTTATTATGCTCGAAATTACTACTTTAAATTCTTTGTTTTTGATTAACATAAAAAAACTATCTTAAAATATTTTATAACTTCCAGAACTTTCATTGATAAATTCTTGTAAACAAATATAACTTCCATCGCGTGTTTGTTTCGTAAGGATGTCCCAATCAAAGAAAAATGAAGTTTGTTTTTATGACGTGTTTACATTTTTTTACTGATAACCTGTTAAAAAAAATGATTGTTTGACTTTCGTAACTCAGAAGAACGATAATAACACAATGTCGTCACGAAGTTCTTCGTGATTTGCTCGAAAAGTAGATAACTAATTTAAAGCAAAGACAAATAAAATAAAGCTGATTGTTTGTTTTTTTTACTTGGAAGATTCATATTTTGCTTCATATAAAAGGTTGAAATAAGCTGAGAAATACTCTTAATACATTCTGAAAAATAATTTAAGTCTTAAACTCGCACTTCATATTTTACAAGGTATAAAATTCCAGTTATTAATTATTGGATTACTGATTTTTAAGGCATTTAATAGTAGAATTGAACGCAATCATTCATTTTTTTCAAAACTTAATTTTTATCTTTTCTATGCTTCCAAAAAGTCTATAATATTGACTTTTATGCAAAATTGATTTTATAATTATTGTAAATTGTAAAATTTTGATTAGTTACAATGAACTGATTTTAAATATAATAAATGATCTAGGTATAATGTATTATAAAATCTCGCGTTTTCTTCCGTTTGAGATGCGTTTATATGTATGGTTTATTAAATTAATTAATACTAACTAATAACACGTTGTTTAGAATGTACCCTGTCAGCTATTAAAAAGTTAATTAGCGCTCATGCTGATCAATTATATTTACGGTGAAACATTAAGAAGACTTAACTGTATAATTAGTTAGGAAGAATGAAGGTATTGTATTATAATATCATATTAATGTTAATACACTATGTAATATTTCTGTAAAAATACAGAGAGAAAAACAAAAAAATATCAGTTAGTTACTATAGTTACGAACTGATATTCTTGTAACGCTAACTCCTGATCAAACACATATTAACAAATTTCTCGTTAATAGAATAGCTGAAAATACTGGATACATTTCCAAAAAGGGACTTAATCTCAAATATTTCAAAGATAGTTACTTGATCAGAATTCTTGATCAAACACGCATTAACAAATTTCTCGTTAATTGAATAACTGAAAATACTGGATGCATTTCCAAAAAGGCACTTCAAAAAAGGGAATCTCAAATATTTCAAAGATAGTTACTTGATCAGAATTCTTGATCAAACACATATTAACAAATTTCTCGCTAATAGAATAACGGAAAATACTGGATGCATTTCCAAAAAGGGACTTAATCTCAAATATTTCAAAGATATTTACTTGATCAGAATTCTTGATCAAACACACATTAACAAATTTCTCGTTAATAGAATAACTGAAAATACTGGATACATTTCCAAAAAGGGACTTAATCTCAAATATTTCAAAGATAGTTACTTGATCAGAATTCTTGATCAAGCACATATTAACAAATTTCTCGTTAATAGAATAACTGAAAATACTGGATACATTTCCAAAAAGGGACTTAATCTCAAATATTTCAAAGATAGTTACTTGATCAGAATTCTTGATCAAACAAATATTAACAAATTTCTCGTTAACAGAATAACTGAAAATACTGGATGCATTTCCAAAAAGAGACTTAATCTCAAATATTTCAAAGATAGTTACTTGATCAGAATTCTTGATCAAACACATATTAACAAATTTCTCGTTAATAGAATAACGGAAAAAACTGGATGCATTTCCAAAAGGGACTTAATCTCAAATATTTCAGAGATAGTTACTATTCAGTTTTTAAGTAAGTTGTCGCTCGCTCATTGCGGTGGTCAGAGGCTTCGTTTTATAAAACTTCGGCAGGGGTTCAATTTCTCATGCTAAAAGTTGGATGTATGATTAAATTTTATTTTTTCCGTCAACGGGCTCGGTTTCTACACGCATGTAATGTCCCTCCCGGCATCGAAGCTAGTCTAAAGGAACTGCCTATAGGGGCCAAGGAACGATTGAAATTTGCATTGTCATCTGGCACAGTGTTCCGGTTGAAGTCGGAACTTTGATTGGCACTATACTCAGCTTCTAGCAAAATTTAATCGTGTATTGTCATCAGACTCCAGTGTAATTGAAAGGGGATTGGAAATTCGGTTGATGATAAATACTCATTACCATTTGATTCTCTTTGTAGTAATCAAGAAAGGACTGATAGTTGTATAATGACTACGTAGAATGACTCAGTTTACGATCTCTAATAACTACAGTGAGAAATGGTCGAAATTTCGATTGGTGATAAATTTATTACATAAGCTGTTAATTTATTTTACGTTACTTTTCTAACCAAATGATAATAAATTTTCGAAATTATTTAACTATTTACAATATTTAGTGCATTAAATTGCCCTTACCACTCAGTGGCACAATAAATATGCCAGTGTGTGTGGGGTGCAACTGTGAGCTGAATGTGTATAAAATGTATCTAAAAAGGAATAAAAAATGCAAATACAGTTGGACCTCTATTTAACGAAGTCGCTAAATCCCGAAAAAAAGTTCGTTATATAGCAAACTCGTTAAATCACCATTTGAAATACTTACACAACACGAAACAGGTATTAAATTCATAAACACTAGAAATAATTAAAATTGCAATTGATACACCTTTATCTTGTAAATTATTATCTATTATTTATTTTAGAAATCCTAACCATAAAAGAAATCTGCCAAGAGAGTAAGAATAGAACAAAACATTATCCAGTGTTAAACTGTCATTCCACATATATTTTCCACTGAATAAAAAAGTTAATTTTTATACATAAAATCATTGCTGCATTTATTATAAAGGTAATTTTAAATATACATTATCACATGCGTTCTTAATTTTAATTGCTATTGATTAAGTCCATTAATTTTGTCTGAGTTTTTCGTTTGAAAAAGTTCCACATACTTATAAACATTTCCCCATAAAATGCGTTAAAAAGTTTATAATTTTCTCAAATATTTTGGGAAATAAGGAAAATTGATCTAAAAAAAAAATAGTTAAAGAAAAGTTATGTTACGATAAGTTACTTTACGAAGAAATTTCCACAATATTCTTGGTTCCACAAAAAAATTCGCAAAATAGAGAAATTCGTAAAACGGAAGTACGTTAAATAGAAGTCCGACTGTACTCGATTTTTTTTTTTTGCGAAAGTAAAAATTTTGAGAAATGAAATAAAATGAACTTGACAGAAAATTAGCTGAAATAAGATAAATGATTAAAAAAAATGTTAAGTGTATGCCGAAAGTTTGGTAAAAGGCACTTTCATAAATCTAAGACAATAGTTTTTCCGCTAGTAATTCATTTATTGATTTCCTTTTTAGCTAGAACAAGAGCGTTTTTGTGCCATTCAAAGAGACAACAAACACTTGATGGATCGATTGGCGACAATTCAGAGAAAAGGAGGTTGGATCGATCATAAAAACTTTCACGAAATTAAAAGGTTAAAACCATTGATACATATTCTCTTTACTATAAAAAATATTTTCATTACGAAGTGCTTTCGGAAAATAAGTTCCAGTGCGTTGTTTGGCTGCTTCAGTTTTACCTTTAGTGCTCTGAGCACGTGCAGTAGCCTCCTTGATCATCCTATACACTCTTGTTATTATCTTGATTCATGTTCAAATAATTCAGCGCTTTTAAAATAATTATAATGAAATGATAATCATGTAAACACATTTTGATGCGCAATCACTTACTCTTTAAAAATAGAACATTTGAAATTGCGACTTAAAAGCATTAAATGTAATAATTATTTTAAAATAAAATTTTTCTTTTGGTAGTGGTATTTTATTTACGCCGCGCTTAAGCTGTACGATCCATTTTTAATTGCACACTCAATCTTTCTGTTAGAAGCTTGATGGATTAGGATAGAAATTATAGTGACGGAGAGCTGCAGCTCATATAAGAGAGCTAAATTAATCTCTTTTAGATAAAATTCTATTAATTTAGATAAAAATTCTATAAAGTTTAATTTAAAAAAAGAAAAAGGTTTTTACATTTTTCTTCGGAGTGTTCTTTTTCTTCACTAATTAAAGAATGAATTATTCAAAATTATTGGCTATTTTAATGTTTTCTATAGGAATCACAACTCAAAGGAAAAGTTTTAAATTTTGGATAATAATTTTCAGTTATGGTTCATTGAAAGCTATCATACTTGCAAGATATGTATTCTGTAGCTTAAAAGATTCCGAGTACCTACGAAATGATTTTGTTGTCATTCAGATCTTTGCAGAAATCTTAGTTACAATATTGTGGTTGTATATTCTAATGCAATGTTTGAATATTCACAAATTACTATTATTTCTTTGTGATAAAAGCTCTCATAAGAAAAGATGCTCTTTTTTTATGTGCTGTTTCTTTTTATTTCTCTGTCCAAACGTTACTATAATTATAAGCAAACTGAATCGTTCTCTTTTACCACGCAACAGTAATTGTTGGCATTTTAATTTAAACGATGCCAAAGCATTATACGTAACATATCTTTTAGATTTAATAATGCGCGTTTGGAACAACGGTACATATTTTGCCATTTTACTTCTGTACTGGGCATTTTGTTTTTTGATAATAACAAATTTCAAAATCTCAAAAGGAAAAATAGAATGGGAGCAGTTAAAACATCTTATTAGTTCCGTTGAAAGATTGGAAAATATTATGTCATACCCTATATTTTGTTGCTTATTGAAAATGACAATACGTATATTTTGGTTGCTTAGTATATTTTATGGTAATGATAGTATTCCTGCTGAATTAATAGTTGTTTGCGTTCAAGAAACAGTGTGGTTTTTGATAATAGTATACATGGCCGATTATGTCCAGAAATGCTGCTTAAATCAGATAGATGATTTTTTCTCAGAATCAGTTGGACCCATGTTAAAAAATGACTATTGTTGGTATCGGAAATCGAAACAGCGTAGCACACTGACAGCCTGGAAAATGTTTGCAATTAATCGCCGTTTACTCTTATCAACCCTAACAGCAGTGATAACATACGGTATTATCATTAAGCAGTTCAGAGAAGAAAACAAAGGAATTTTTCTTCCTGGTGCCTCGATTAATAATACTTTATAAGATGTTTTTTTTCTGACACTTAAGCTCATAGAGTTATTTATATATAAGAATTTAATTTTGCGTGTGTAGCAATCAGTAAAAATAAATGAAGATGTAGTATCAGGCGATTTATCAGAAAAGGAAGATGCAAAAAGAGTAAAACTTATTTTCAAATGAAGAGTTGGAGATTGTTTTGGTTACTGCAGTGAAAAGCGTTAAATGTAATTATCGCTTCCTTTCCTATTAAATGACCCGGGTTCGATTTCAACCATGGCTGGTCGATAAGAAATGCGCGCCCAGTATACCCCAATCACAATGCTTGACGTAAAAATATCCTCAGTGATAGACGGATCATGGGATAGAGTCCCATTGCCGTCAAGCGGAGGTTTTAATGATTTCCCTCACCATGTAACGTAAATGCGAGTTAGTTCTATCAAAAAGTACCTCACGAAGACAACATATTTCCCAATACTTGATCCAGGAGTCTCCTTGTCTTCTGGATTGGGTTCAAAATTTCGAAGCTATGGATTTGAACATTGGTAGTCGCAAACTTAAAATAGGGTCGACTCGCCAACGACGGTTGTAAAATAAAATATAAATATTGGTATTCTTAGTTATTATCGAACGCCATTTAGTGACTTCACCATACTGAAGCGCCAGTTGCAAAACTTGAAACTTTAAGATTCCGTTTTGAATGATTGACCACAGACAGAAACTTGAGAGCAAACACGAGCAATAACATTTTTTAGCGTGAAAGTTTCGTTGTCATTTATTTTACCTTGGTTTGCTTGAAAACAAAAAATCATTTAAATAAATTACTTGTATTAAATTCATTAATAGGAAGCATTCAATGAACTGCAGACATTGAAAATTAAAAATACTTGACAAACTTATCTCAATTGCCAATTAAAAAGCATCTGTCAATCATTAAGAATGTTTCAATTTTAAATAAGCTGCTTTTGATAGGCATGGCTATGTAGTTATTAAAATAGCTACGCAATTATTAAATTGGCTACGAAGTAATTATTTTAACGTTACAATTTCTACACTTAAGCATATCTAAGCTATTTCTACACTTAAGCATATTCATAACTTAAGCATGATCTTTGTCCGATGTTCATTTAGTTTGATTCAGTTATTTTGTTAAGGTGTATTTCTTTTCCGCAGCATGAATACCTGGAAACGACAACAAGAAATGATTGAACTTGCATACAATAATCAGGCCATGTTAATGAGATTACTCGATTGCCATTCGCATTACAACCACCATAAACTGGAGGATGAATACTTGGTAAAAGTTTATGCAAATTAAATTTTCATAGTAATAGAACAAAGCAGTAAAAGCAAATTATTTTTTTTTCATGAAATATCTGATCTCTTCATTAACTGCTCAATGAGTCCTGGTGGCTCAGGGGATAGAGCGTTCGCCTTCCATTGAGGTGAATCGGGTTCGAATCCCAACGAAGACTGGTCGATTCGAATTCCCGCCCCTTCTTGCATTGACCACAGTGATGATGTAAACTATCGTCAGTGGTTGACGGATGATGGGTTAGAGTCCCCGTATCGTCAGACTAACCTTGAAAGGTTTTCGTGTATTTCTTCTCCATGTAGCGAAAATGTAGGTTAGTTTTCTCAAAAAGTCCTCCAAGAAAGCAAATTTCTCTCAATACTTGATCCAAAAATTCAATAGTCTTCTGGAATGGGTTCAAAATAACAAGGCTACGGAGTTGAATATTGGTAGTCTTAAGCCCAAAATGGGGTCGTCTGTTCAACGACGGTTATAAAATAAAATAAAATTAGATGCTCAATCATATAAGATTCTTTTAAATGTATTGAAATTAGTATTTGCTTAATAAAGCCAATTGTTTTTATGTTTATGTATTTAGATTACTTTTTATTACCTGTCTAGGTATTGTTTATATATTTAATACTATATACGAAGGCAAGTGGTTGCCCAAACTCTAGGATTCCATGGAATTATCATAAGGGTTCCGAAAGTTTTAGAACCAGATTTGCTTTTTAAAACCAGTAATTAAATGTACATCTAATCAATAATCCATTATTAATTTAATATTTCAGTTATTTTTATAAAATTATTCGATTGAAATGTTTATGAAGAAAGTAACTGCAAAACGATGCTTTTACTAATAACATTAATGGGCATGATTTATGAAAAAGATATAAATTTATGAAAAAATTCCTTTAGTATTTCGCAAATAATTAAAATAATCAAACTCAACAATGAAGAATTATTTTTCCTCCGGTAATCCTTCTCAACGTTTTCTTTTCTTTTCTTATCATTTTTATTTAAATATGAACCATATTTCAGCTCATTACTTTTTCAGTTTATGCATGAACTCGTAAAACCAAATTAAGAATTAGACTATATGTCGCTTCAGACCTGTGAATTCAACTGTCTGCTATAAAACCAAATTAGGAGCTAGACTATATGTCGCTTCAGACCTGTGAATTCAACTGTCTGTTATAAAGTCAAATTAAGAACTAGATTATATGTCGCTTCAGACCTGTGAATTCAACTGTCTGCTATAAAACCAAATTAAGAGCTAGACTATATGTCGCTTCAGTCCTGTGAATTCAACTGTCTGTTATAAAACAAAATTTTAAGACTAGTAATGATAAACCAATGTGATGAAAAAATTTCATTCCTCATTCATCTCCTAAATATTTAAAAAAAAATTAATAAAATTTAAATCAGTGCATATTTTCAAAATAATTGATGGTCTTTCGTTAATTAATGTTCTCACAATTGTATTTTATAGCTGTCATTGAACAGACGACCCTATTTAGGGTTTACGATTACTAATGTTCTACTACATAGCTTTGTAATTTTTAACCCAATCCAGATGACAAGAGAACTGCTGGATCAAGCATTCGGGGAAATTTGCCTTCGTGGAGGACTTTTCGATGGAATTAACCCGCATTTGCGTTAAGATCACAAGAAAGATCTAAATTCTACTCCGTTATGGCTAATCTGGTGGTTTGTTAAAAATTTTTTTCATAGGATTCGCATTACGTATTGATGCAATTGAGGATACTTTTATTTTTGAATATTTAAACGAAACCATCCTGTGATTTCGACTACCTTGCAGCTTCATTTAATCATATATTAGTTTCAATGAATTACGTACTGTTCCAACACGCAACTTAAACCTCAACGTGCTTTTTTGCTGTTATAACAATGCTGAGTTCAACAGTTGGTAATTATTATAAATATAAAACTTTTAATAGATCATATGATATTTAAATAGACTTTGAAATCAGATCTATTATAGATTATTTATTGGTTGTAAAACTACTTACAATAAGTATTGGTAAAATAATTATCGGGTTAATGAAACTTGTTCTATAAATAAATTACATAATTAAGTAGTTTATTGAAATAGATATATTATAGAATATTTATTGGTTGTAAAATTGCCTACAGTGAATATAAGCAAAATAATCACAGGGTTAGTAAAACATATTGTGTTAATGAATTGCATAATTTTTAAATAGTTTACGGAATCAGATTTATTATAGAATACTTATTGGTTGTAAAACTGCTTACAATAAATGTATGCAAAGTGATCATTGAATTTAGGAATCATATTGTGTTAATGAATTGTAAGATTTTTAAGTAGTTTATGGAATCAAATATATTATGGTTTATTGGCTGTAAAACTGCTTACTATAAATGTATGCAAAGTGATCCTTGTTTTTGGGAATCATATTGTGTTAATGAATTACACGATGTTTAAGTAGTTTGTAGAACCAGATATATAATGCAATATTTATTGGCTTTATAATTGTTTATAAAAAATATGTGTAAAATGACCATTGAGTTAGTGAATAATCTTATGTTAATGAATTACATGATTAATTAGTTCATGGAATCAGCTATAAAATATTTACTGGTTGTAAAAATACTTACAATAAATCTGTGCAAAATGATCTGAATGATTGGTGAATCATATTATGTGAATGAATTATGTTAATAAAATCAGTTTTATCCTGTACTGTTTTTTACTTGTATGTCTGTTGTAATTAACCAGTACTTGCAGTAAATCTGAGTAAAATAATGATTGCTTAATTTTTTTTTTTTAGTTATCGAGGAAGCATAAAGCGAATATACAGAAGTATACAAAAGATTGGAGAAAAGTCTTGTACCAGATGAAATGCCTCAGAAAACGTATAAGAGAGAAAGTTATAAGTGCGCGTATGGGAAAGGTAAGTATTTAATACTAATGACCGTGCTGATATGAATGTCACAAAAGTTGTGACATAACATGCAAAAAAGAAAAGAAAATAAAAATAATGGTAAATAAAACAGTTAGACATAATCCTCTGCCACTCCTTGTATTTGGCTATGAGGTTTGGAGCTAATATTGCAAAACAAGTTGTTCAGCATTAGCTCTTAGATTTCACGTGATTTCCCTATGGTAGTGGATTGTTTCATGCCTTTTGAAGCAGGGGGAGAAAAGCGAGGGTCTGCAATTTACCAAAAACTGATAAAACAAATAGAACTTATTTTCGATAGCAGAATTTGAAAATCAAAATTAAACCATTACTTTCATAATTACAAAAGCCTCTCGAGACTTCGAGTTTATCATACTATGTAGTTTTTATATTATTTTATGCATCAATTCATTTTTTTTTGTCGTTGGAACGTGTTTTTTTTTCTTTCAATTTTTAAAGTTACTCTCAATTTCATAGGATTCAGATTAGATTAGAAGGAAATGTCAGCGTATGGAATTCCGGGCAATGGCTCTTTACCTTGAAAATCCTCCTAAGCAGGATACTTTATTAAATAAATAATCCCCAGAAACTAAAATTGTTAGATATTACTTTATTAAAAAAACTTAAATTCGTTTCAAAAATGTATAAATTGGAAATATCAGTGGACATGTTTCAAAAGCTCAAAAATAGACGCCAATTTTCAATACTTGCTAGACATGAATACGAAGAAACAAGAATGATTTGAACTATCAAACATAAAGTTGGCAACGAAAAATGGAATGCAAAGATGAGAAATAAAACTGAAGAAACCTCAATAGCAGAGGGAGAATAAAAATGAAGATGAAAAAACAGAACTAGAAAAACCACTGCGGCTGAGAAGGGAAATCAGGGTAAGATGCATTTTCACTCGCTATGGTGAGGGGGTAAGGAACTAAATAGTAAACAAGGGAATCAGGATTCATAGGAATGAAACAAGATTTCATGGTACGAGATGAGCTGATGTGACTGGGGTGGAAAAAAATTTCGAATTTTTGCAATTGAATTTATGCACAAGAAATCCAATGGTGATGATTTCGCGTATTCATGATAACTGATGTATCTATTGTGTTCCTTAAGTCTAAATTTTTTAGAGCATGTAGTTTGTTCCGTGTAGCCAAGGCCGCACGGACAAGGAATGCGGTAAATGCCAACTATCAATGTTTCTATATACTTCATGTTATAATTTACTTTTAATAGAATAGGCACGAATATGAATTATTTTTACAGCCACACAGACTGTAAATAAGACTGTAACTATGTTAAAAGAAGAACATTTTTTAAACCCACTTCTATTAGCCGATTATCAACACTATTAGAATCTTTAAGAGAGTTAAATTTAATTTTCTTAACGGGCCCAAAAATGACTTTAAAACTAAAAACGGGAGATGATATTTGCTATTTTATAACAAACGGGAGAAGAAAAAAAAACAGTAAAGTTACAAGTTCTCTGTAAAGAAGAGGGTCTTTTGAGTCTAGTGAGTTCAGCAAACGCTGAATCAACTATAGAAGAGTTAAACTAATTTGTGACAAAAATTGATTTTTTTTCTCTTCAGCCTCAGAAGGTTAAAACAGACAAAGAGGAATTAAAAGAAATTGAAAAGGAAGCGATTGAAATGGAAAAAGCTGAAAAAGAAGCCAAACGAATAAAGGAGTTGAAAGAATTGGAAAGCAAGGAAAAGTCAGAAAGACTGAAAGCCATACAAGAGCGAAAACGGGCAGTGGAAGAGTGGAAGAAAGCATCGGCAGAATGGAGAAAGGCGAGAGAGGAGAGATTGAGACTCGCGGAAGAAAAGAAAGCCGACGAGAAACGAAAACTAGCCGAAGTCAAAGAGCGCGAAAGAGAGAGACAAAAGAAAAAGCGAGAAAAAATAAAGAAGGAGCTGGAGGAATGGAGAGAATGGAAAGCTGAAAATGAAAAGATTAAAAAGGAAAAAGAAAAAATAGCTAGAGAAGAGAAGAAAAGGAAAGCTGCCGAAGCTCGAAGAAAGGCCAAAGAACGAGAAATGGAAGTCGCTAAAGACGCAGGAAGTTCGTACGAAGATTCATTTGAGAGTGATTCAAGTTTCAGCGAGTCTGAAATTTCTGATGAAAGTGAGAAAGACGTGCTTTCAAGAGCACCTTCCAAAACTGTGGTCTTCTTTGAGGATGGGCAAGAAGTGGATGTCATTGAAACTGAGATTGTGGAAGATTTCAGAGCTGATGAGACTGAATTGAGAGCTGAAAGGGAGAAAGCGAAAAAGGAGTTGAAACTGAAGGTTGATGTAGCACAACCAGAGGATGATTTCGGAGTTGATAACACCAAGCTGGTTAAAACAAAATTCGTATTTAAGAGCAAAGATACGGTGTATGAAGACACCGTCTCCGATAGAGAAGCAGATCTAAAAACAGAGACAGACGATACGAAATCGGATGAAACTTCAGATAAAGTTGGACGTGAACAAACTAAGGATAAAAGGTATGAATATGAAGAAAAAGTTCCTCCGACTAAAACAGTAGAAGATGTTGATTCTGCACTGGATATTTTATTGGATGCACCGGAAAGTGCTGGTGAAGATTCGGAATCTGAAAATGAAAAATAGTGAATAGAAAACTAAATTGTCTGACAATGGTTTTAAGGGCACACTAATAGATATTAATGCCACGAAAGACTAAAGCAAAGAATTTTTATGAATAGTTAAAAGATAAATTACAATATTTGGAGCTTTTATAATATAAAAATAAAGAATACGTCAATCAGGCTTTCAAACTTATGTTTAAAGCGCAATTTACGATGAAAAACATGAAAATGTATAGTTAGACTGCTTTCTAATAAAGTTTTATTTTTTAAATTTTTTTTGTAAAAATAGTTAATAAATCTTAAGAATCTGGATGGGATAAATGTGTATAGAAACGGTTGACCGTGTAAAGGTGGAGCTAGGGATTAAGGATCGTCTTAAGACTTCCGGGTTTCTACTTCCGACTGATTTTTACGCCTAAGCTTGAAAAAATGCATCATCCAATATTATTACACTTGCAGTGTTTACAATATAACGTATTCTTTTAATCTAATTTTCAACGAAACAAACAACAAATGAATTTTGAAGACTCCACAAACTTGCTATGATGCTACCCAAAAAATAATAACTCGTGTTATTTAACACAAATATAGCCAAATAAGAGATAGCACTCAAAACATGGCTAACTTTACACTTTATTTATGCTGTGCTATTAATTTTTTAAAATTTGTTTTAGGCTCATGACATGTTGAAATTTTTAAATTACAGAAAAATTTTATACGTGGTAAAATTTAAACAAAAATTTAAACTCAAGTAACAATAATCAAACTTCCTAGAATATTACGCTTGTTCACACATCGCCTCGTAAGCATAACATAAGCGGAGGGATACACCGGAAGTTTTCTAAATTACTTCCGGTTTCAGGAAGCTTGTTATTGTTCGCATTCAGTCAACCATCCTTATTTTTTTATACTTAATTGAAATATAAGACAATAAATATTTATTTTAAAAACAACTTCGTTAGGAAATTCAATGTTTATGTCCTATGAACTTCACAGGCTCAAGATGATTCTTGAGTAAAACTTAAGCACTATAATTTTCGATAAAATATTTTATCAATATGAAAAAAAGTTATTATTAACGCTATATATAGCTTTGATAATAGAAAGAAAAATAAATATTCCTTACTTAATTGAAAATTAAAAGCACGAAGTTTTAATTAATCAACAAATGTACAACAATATATTTAGTATTTACAATATAAGATCTTAGTGGGCTTTAATTAAAACGCAACCAATACAGTTGTACTTTACTGTTAAAAAATCGTTATTCAGGTATTTTATCTTGGTGTGCTGAAAATGAATAAATACTTCTTTATTAGTTGAAATACAAAACAATAAAGTTAAATTGCAGAAACAAATATTTTAATTAATTCATATTTCTTGTAATATCGATGATATATTCCCTAACTAAAACATCATGCAATAAAGTTATAAAATTGAATTTGAACAACACATTAAAAAAATCACTATTTACACTAGATAATATCGATGGTCTAAAAATAATTCATGTCATTTTTGTTTTCAAATGCAGGAAAATATTCCTTCAATAGAATAAATAAGAAAATAAAATATTTTTGTTGCCACAAAATTTCTTTGTATTTTTCATGCTATGTCATTTATTTAATGGAATAGGCAAGAATATAGACAAGAATATAAAATAAGAATATGAGACGTTTTTGTAGCCACACAAATTTTTTTTTATTTTTCATGCATTATAGTCATTCAATATATGGTTAAATATTATATAAATGATATATGTTATATATTTTTAATGCAATATATTTTTTAAAGTGTATAAATCCTAAATTTTTTATATATTTTTTATGCTACTAGTGGGCAGTGTCCCCTGCTCGCTAACGCTCGCCAACCCCCGAAAATTGCTACGCAATCTTATATGGTTCGCTTCGCAAACCAAGCTCACTTCGCTCGCTACTAACTTAGGTAGATTGCAAATGCACAAAATTCTAAGAATTTGAAACAATCATTCAAATCCATATAAAAACTTTTTTTTTAAAAAAAAATTACATCTTTTTTGTAAATACTAAGTCATTAAAATAAATTTGAATTCAAATAAATGACATGTAATTCGTTAAACCTATTAGAAATGTACTATAGTATAATTCGTGATATAAATCAAACATCGTCAAATAAATTCGTAATATATAAATTCGTGAAAAAAAGCGCTTTCCACAAAATATTAAAATAGAGATCTATCGACAAAGATTACTCACTTATTCTGGGTTAAAATCTTGATTAGCCCGAATGCTTAAATTTCACCTGAAATGAAAATTTGCGTGAAAATTGTAATTAAACGTAAAATTAATGTAATTGTAATTAAACGTAAAATTAATGCTGCAGGAAAATTTATTTTATATTAATGTAAATATATTTCCATAATCTGTCATCTTCCTTTTTAGTAACTATAAGATATTTTTTATAATTAAAAAATAGTGAAATATATTTTTGCTTTTCATAAGAGGGTCAGAAAGAATTAATTAAAAAGTAGACACTGGTTAACCATATGCGGCAAAGGGTTAAATTAAGTTATACTATAAGGGAATATTATTACTTCCTTTATAATATTCTATCACCACTAAAAATTTCCTACTCCCTTCGATCGTAATGAGTACTACGTTTTTCATATTGAATATGACAAAAACAAAGCTATTTTTTCTTCCTTAACCCGACTGAAAAACTCAGTTTCATGAACTTTTTGTTTAATATTCAGAAAAAAGCCAGATGTTCCGTTTTGCAAATTTATATGTAATCGCAGAACAATGAAAGAAAAGGAAAATGTTACATAACAGAGTAAGTTGGAAATTCTTCGGTAAAATGGAGAGAATTCCGTATCAGGAAGAAGGATGCTTAGGCGAAGAGAATTTCGCCAAGTTTCCGAAATTATAGGAAATCCTGTAAGTGAAGAGGTTAAAAGTTTCTATTCATAAGGACTTTCTCTTTTCATAACTATATACTACTTAGTGTAAAAAGAATAATGATGCTATCTATTTCATTGAAACTATTTGCCTGTCAAATATTTTTATTACTCGTAGTTGAAACACTTTCTCAAAGTAAGTAGCTATGATTTGCCTAGAATAATAAAATATTCTGTAGTCGTAACTTAGATTTAAGTAAAATTTCATTTGTCCTATTTCATTTATATGTAGTATCAGTATTTTGTGAAAGAAGAAGTTTAAGGTCACCTAGCAAGTTTTACGCAACTTAAGCTCAACTTTTTTTTCTTTAAGGTCTAAATATGACAAATGTAAAGATTTTTGCATACATCTTTAGCTTAATGCTTAGAAATAAATTTTTGAAACGTTTTGCGTATAATATTCTAATTCAGAAGGTTACACTAAAGTTACTTAATGTTGTAAAAAACGGAAAAAAATGCAATTTTACTCAAGAAAAAGAAACAGGTTGCACCGAAACTACGCAAAACTTGCAAGGTGATACCTGAAAGGTCTAAATAGGATTAATGTAAATGTTTTAGCAATATTGTTTAGCTTAATTTATTAGGAATAAATAGCTGAAACAACGTTTTGCATATAATTTTCTATGTTTAACTTAAAGGAAGGTTGTACTAAAATTACTAAATGTTGTAAAAAAAAAAGAAAAAGAAAAAAGATACTAATTAACTCAAGAAAAAAAAAGGTTACACCGAAGCTACGTAAAACTTGCTAGGTGATACCTGAAAGGTCTAAATAGGATTAATGTAAATGTTTTAGCAATATTTTTTAGCTTAATTTATTAGGAATAAATAGTTGAAACAACGTTTTCCATACACTTTTTCGTGTTAAACTTAATAAAAGGTTGCACTAAAGTTACTAATATTGTTTTAAAAAAAATTCTCAAATTTACTCAAGAAAAAAAGTGGCACCGAAGTTACGCAAAACTTGCAATTCAATACCAGAAATGTCTAAATGGGATAAATGTGAATGTTTTTGCATAATTTTTAAGTTTAGATTTTAAGGATAAATATCTGAAACGACGTTTTGCATGCAGTTTTCTTTGTTTAACTTAAAAGAAGGTTGTACTAAAATTACTAAATATAGCGACAACAAAAAAAGTTTGGTATATTAATATCTTATAAATAAATATTTATAAATATTTTTACCTAAAAGGTTTTGTTTATAGCTGGTTTAAAATTTAGAAAAAAATTTTACAAGAGTTTTTATTTAAAAGTTCACGAAATATATTCCAGAAATTCTGTGTATGATAAAGATATAAAGTGATTTCATTATTTTGTTTTTTAATCCTTTGATCCAGAATTTTTATTTAACATATTTTTCTTTATTTTGTAATAATTTAGGTCAAAGTAAGTGAAAAATAAAATATTTACTATTTTAATAATTTATGGTTATGAAACACAGCATGAGACACAGGTGTCTTATGCTGCGTTAAAGGTAAACTATTCCAAACACTGCTCACTTGCGTACAATAATTTTTCCAATTTGTACTTATTTGCAATTATTTAGATCTAAGAGAAACTCATCATTAAAATTTCTTTAATTTACAAAATGAGTTACTGATAAAAGTTTTGAATAAGAATGAAAAACATTTTTTCAATTTACTTTTTTTGGATTATATATTTTAGAATAGATATAATTCCGATAATCTATCAGATTTTTTCAATAACTATTAGACTGTTTTTGTAATATAAAAGTATCAAATATATTTTTGCTTGTAATTAGAGCGTCAGAAGAAAAATTTACACCAATTTATAAAAAATTTATGAATATATAACTAATATTTATGTTAATATCTAATATATATAATTCTCTTACGTGGCTCCCAAATTTCGGCTGTTTTTCTCTTCCACTGGTGGCAACAGTTTTTATTTTTAAAGAAGTACTTTGTACAACTAAATAAGATTCTTTTCACAGCACTTAAATATTTACTTTATTTTCTTCATATATACAGAGAACAGTAGGGAAAAGAATTCTGTTAGGTTAAAAAACATTTCGCTAAAAAAATAACGAATTCTAAAAGAAATAAAAATAAACAACTTAAAAAAGAAAAATGCTGTTGCTAGCCATAGAATTTTTTGAAAGTTAACTTAGCAACATAAATCAAAATGACATAGAAGCGCAACTAGATCAAAATTATGATACCTGAGCGCTTGACGTAACAAATCCTTCAATTCTATAAGTGTTGTATCGCCAAATGCCCAGATAATATTGAAATGTACAGGTTTAGAGTTTTCTACAGTGAAAAGTTTCCGGAACTTCAGTATTCAAAAGCTAGACGTTAAGAACGTCTCCAATGAGCGAGCATTGGATTGCGAAGCAATCCGAAATGAACTGCGAAAGCAGTTCCGTGGGTTGGCGAGCGCTAGCGAGCGGGGGGCGAAGCCTCCTTGTTATTATTATTGTGCTATATATCCTTTCCAAGCCCTGATGATTCTTTACGACAATGGTATATATTTTGGGGCCGGGATAGCCTGGTCGGTAGGGCGCTGGGCCCATATCCAAGAGGTCGTGGGTCGAAGACTCCCCGTGTAGTAAATGGTGACTGATGCACGTTAAATCTGTCGAGATGTTCCCACAACAAATCAAAACCTCTGGGGGTACTGATCCAGGAGTTTCCTTGTTTATATATAAATTATATAAAAAATTGAAATTATTAATATTATAATAAAAGATAAACATTTATAATTTATTATTAACATTTATTTATTATTAATTAAGGACACCGGTGTCCTATCTACGTCAATGGAGTAATGTGTTAGATAATACCTGAAACTATGTTTTACATACAATTTCCTGTGTTCAAAAAATGTTTTTTTTTTAATTATGTGTTAAAAATTCATAAAAGCATGGTCCTAACTAATGGAATATGATAAAAGAAATTAAGTGTTTTTATAATTTTGTATCTTTATTCTTTGGAAACAAATATTTCTAGGAATAGTTTACTTTTTTTGCTAAAAATTGTATACATTTAAACATAAGTTTGCGCTATAGGTTTATTAAAATTTGCAACATGGTCCTTTAAATTACTATGTATGATGAAATTATAAAGTGTTTGTGTTGTTTTGTAACTTAATACTTCACACTGAGAAAAAAGTATGGTAAAAACTACAAGAATATGGTAAAATTTACAGTGCTTCTGGTTCTCAAGGAAACCAAAGCTAGTACAAAGGGATAACTGGTTCTAAGGGAACATCAAAAAGCTCAAGCTCAATAATTTTAACTGAAGCTCATTGTTCATGAGTTTGATAAAATTAATGATAAAATAAGGTTTAATAATATAGGATGAAATTTTGGTAAACATGGTACAACTTGGTAAATTTATCATACCTTAGAGCATGGCATAAAAACTATATTATTATGTACGATTCTGTTCTATATATTTGTTTTTATTTTTTATGAATTAAATTTTGTAGAAAACATAATTTATAGTTACACTTTAATAATCATGTTTAATAATAAATATTGGAGAGAGATGCATTGTATCAACTAAGATCTCTAAAAAATACGTTTTTTTTACTAATTTGACCTAATTTTTTCCTACACTCTCTGGTACGTTTCCTCCACTTTTATCTAATCGATTGCTATACTTTTTTCCCCATTTACTTACCCCTTTTTTCAGTTTTCTTCTTTACTGACGAGTTTATCTTAGAATAAAAAACTTAGAGTAGTTATGCCTCTATATACTTAACTTAGTAACTGAGTATATGGGGAGAAATTCTACGAATTATTTCGTTCACATGTAATTTACAAGTAGCGAAGAGATGAATGAAAATCAAAGCGTCATGCAGATAAATTGAATGAAATATTTAGAAATCAAATCTTGCATAGATTGTACATGCACTATATTTTTGAAGTAAAGAGATTTAAAGAGTACAAGAGTACCTACGAAGCTAAATTAAAATACAGAAGCATCCATTGAACGAATGGAGTTAGCTCGATTTGCGAAACATCTGAAAAGAACTGTGAAAGCTGTTCGGAGGTTTGGCGTGTGCAGAAAGTGGAGCCAAAAGTATCAAGATATTTTGCTAAAAACGTATCAATAGTTCAGTCTATGTCGTTTTTTTTTCTTTTCAGAATAAGCTAATTTAGTGACTGATTTTTAATAAACTTCCCTCCTTTTGGTTTGATTTCGAAGAAGACGGCTGCTACACATCAAGTAAAAAAGGATCGTTATTTTAGATGCAGATTTCTTTTTCAAATTAGAAAGACTTTGAAGAAAAAGTAAAAACCATTTTAAAGTATTTTATCCTGTAAAAAGTTCTGGATCAAATTACGGTATGGAGTATCGGCGCCGTGGATGTAATCATCCACAAAGTCCATCTTACCGTAAAATCCATTTTTACTGCAAAAGTGATACAGAGATTTTACGGTAATCATTACTGTAAAAAGTTCGGGCCCCCTGAGTGCCAGTACTTTTTACAGTAAATTTGAACCTGAATTTTTACAGTGTAGAAGAGTAAAAGACTTAAACAAAAATTTTAGTCAATAGAATCGGTAGTTTCTCAGAAAGAATTTATATAAATTAGCTGTCCAATATGGGCCTGGATAAAACACTGCTCTACTCTTTTTATACAACGTAGTTTATTAAACAGCTCGTTTTTTAAACCTTTTAAACAAATTTAATAATTGCAAGAATTACATTTCTCCTTCCCTGAAATTGTTTCTTTTTTTTTTAAATCGTGGCTCAGAGTTCAGAGAAGCAAATAAATACAAATTAGATTCTACAGGCTAGGATTAAATAAAACACAGAGCAAATAGCATTTTAGAAAATTTTTCAAAAAGCATCTCAAAATAAATATAAAGAAGAACAAAATAACAAAAATTTAAAATACGATTCACTACAAAATGAAGGAAATTGTGATCGCCGCAAGGTGATCACAGGTTACGCGTTGGCAAAATGGCTGATGTCTAACTTTTTTTTGGAAAATAAACTTTATTGTGTTTTCATCTTTTACATCTTTAACTATTAATCCTGAACTGCTCGGTACACAATTTCGCAGACATATTTAAAAGCAGTTCAGACACATTCTGTGTAAATTCTTTCGATGACTGAATAGACATTGAACATCCAATCGAGATCAATCTTAACATTTTCGGATTGGTATAATGGTGTTTGATGGAGCTGCATCATACACCCGTTTCGGATTCACAAATTTGAAAGCTAGGCTTTTGTTTCAATTTTACATGAATAGTGAATGAATCATTTATATTGAGTGGAAGACAGTCTACGGTCTTGTGCAAGTTATTGGGTACGTTGACAATGGATCCTTTTATCCCTAACTCGTGATCAATACAAAGTTCTCGTATTTGCGTGAAAGGGGTTCGAAGAGTCACCATTCGCTTTTCGGTAGGGTTCAATTCTCTCAACCACTTTGGTACTTTTGTGAGGGACGGGATTCATGTTTGTGTTTGAGAACAGAATCCTTTCGTTTTTCCTTTTGTGTGAAACGCTTAAGGTATTCCCGCCTACGTTCTTTGACTTTGGCTTTTTTAGCCTCTGTAAGTTTAGGCCTTGGTATCGTTTTTTTCTAGCTTCAACTCCAACTTTTGGAACCGTGTCAATCAGTTTGGACCCTCTTTATTTGTGATATTCACCTGAATTAATATTGAAAACGATCCAGTTTGAACTCTTGGTTAGAATTTCTGATTCTTAATTAAGACACTAAAAACAAAAATATCGTTCAAGTGATGAAATTCTCTTTTATTCACAACTCAAGAAGTATTTATGGGATCTCTCTGTTCCCATATCTCAAAAATAAATTCACCAACTTAATGCATAACAAAATTACAAGTGAAAAAAAGAATTCTAAAAAAATTATCAAGCAGCAGCGGTTGCCATAGCAACGCACGCACGCTGTTCACTATTACTCTTGATTATTGTAGTTCAAAAGTGCGGAAGCCATGAAATTCAAACCAAGACCCATTATGCCAATGGGTAATAAACGGTCTTTCACAAGAATTGGCAATTTTTAATACATAGNGCCAATCGAGATCAATCTTAACATTTTCGGATTGGTACAATGGTGTTTGATGGAGCTGCATCATACACCCGTTTCGGATTCACAAATTTGAAAGCTAGGCTTTTGTTTCAATTTTACATGAATAGTGAATGAATCATTTATATTGAGTGGAAGACAGTCTACGGTCTTGTGCAAGTTATTGGGTACGTTGACAATGGATCCTTTTATCCCTAACTCGTGATCAATACAAAGTTCTCGTATTTGCGTGAAAGGGGTTCGAAGAGTCACCATTCGCTTTTCGGTAGGGTTCAATTCTCTCAACCACTTTGGTACTTTTGTGAGGGACGGGATTCATGTTTGTGTTTGAGAACAGAATCCTTTCGTTTTTCCTTTTGTGTGAAACGCTTAAGGTATTCCAGCCTACGTTCTTTGACTTTGGCTTTTTTAACCTCGGTAAGTTTAGGCCTTGGTATCGTTTTTTTCTAGCTTCAACTCCAACTTTTGGGACCGTGTCAATCAGTTTGGACCCTCTTTATTTGTGATATTCACCTGAATTAGCATTGAGAACGATCCAGTTTGAACTCTTGGTTAGAATTTCTGACTCTTAATTAAAACACTAAAAACAAAAATATCGTTCAATTGATGAAATTCTCTTTTATTCACAACTCAAGAAGTATTTATGGGATCTCTCTGTTCCCATATCTCAAAAATAAATTCACCAACTTAATGCATAACAAAATTACAAGTGAAAAAAAGAATTCTAAAAAAATTATCAAACAGCAGCGGTTGCCATAGCAACGCACGTGAGTTGTTTACTATTACTCTTGATTATTGTAGTTCAAAAGTGCGGAAGCCATGAAATTCAAACCAAGGCCCATTTTGCCAATGGGTAATAAACGGTCTTTCAATTTTTAATACATAGCACAAGAGTCTTAACTATTTTTTTTTAAAATTTTCTTTTTAATCTTTTGAACAAACCTCCACCTTAAAAATAATATACAGTTGAACCTGCTTTGATTCGACCTTTCTGTGAGATTTCGTTATGCAAGATATGAAGATTGCAATCGAATTGGAACAGAATGGACGAAATTATAAACGAAAAAAAAAAAAATAAATAAAAATAAAAAAAAAAGAAAGGAAGAGAAAAATAGCAGGTATTATAGGTCTTTTAGTTCTTTCGTTTTCTGTATTACATCACTTAACACAAGTATTGGGTCAATCAATTACATTACACATGTAATGAATTCTATGATCGCATAATTTAAGCGTTTGAACTCACGAGAATTATCATGTAAATAAATAAGATGTGCAATTAGCATATTGCGATGGAATTCTTGAGTACCAAAGGAAAAATTCGCAAATATAAATTGAAGGACATTTGCATCGTGTTAGTTCGGGTTTCCTGGAACGGATTGCGTGTCTCATTGGGTCACTGAGTTGAGTTTTTGTTAATGAGATAGTTGGAGACTAGTCTCATGCTTTGTTTTGTTCGTTTTAACGAGTAGCAAAAATAGTTTACTTTTTTTTTATTCGTCTCTGACCTGCGCAAGTGACAAGTCCGCTAAATAAAGTGATTTAAAAGAAAAATAATGTATGCGCGTGCTTTAATTCTTAAATCTAATGTAAATTGACATTCTTCAAAGTGTTACTCACATTCCTGGAATATTAAAATAAGATTCATTTCGAAGCGTCAATTGAATTTAAATTTAATATTTTTTTCTATTGAGACATAAATTTGTAGGATTTTGATTTCATTTTTAAACGAAATCCCTGAAAATGAGTAAGAGCAGAAACGAAAAAAGAGGAAAATAATTTCCTTAGAAATGAAGACTACGATTTTAAAACGAATAACAGAAGGTGAATGATCCACAGCTCTTGGTTATTCTACACGATATTTTTTTTATGCGGTTCATTATCTATCGAATTAAAAAAAAGATTTTTTAATTGTGATGCGAAAATTATTTTTTATAGCTACTCATGAAATATGGGAATTTTTTTAGTCGTTTTTTTATGTGGTCTCTGCCCACCGCACAAAAAAGTTTGAGTTTATTTGAAGAGTTAGTGTGGATGAAGGTTCTAAGTGATAGTTTAGTAAAAATTAGCTCCTTAATAAGTTTGAGGAAGTAGAGAGTTTGTTTTGACTTTATTTTTTGTGTGTTAGTTAAAAATTTGTGAAACCTACAAATGTCAATCGCACGCACACCTGGCTTTCTAAAATTCTAGCAAAAATGGGCTTCCGAAGCCTGTCACCTCTTGTTTGTAGCCAAGGCTATTTGAAACCTTCTACCACTCCAGAAATAATCAAACTGCCTATCAAATTATTACCTATGATCATTTCAAAATTTAATGCGCCTCGTAAAATAAATTAATTATTAAAGAAACTACCTGAAGGAAGAGTTATCTCCAGAAGACGTCTTTTCATATTCGATATTGTTATTTACCTTTAAAAAAATAGAAAGAATTCCTTTTCCTTATTATGATAACATTATGGGTTTAACTAAAGTAGTGATTCAGGCCCATGGACGAGTTGAATTCAAAGATGCGCATTATGCCAAGCAAGTATATAAATACTTAACAACTCAATAAGACTAAAATAAGATTTCTCTAAGATAAATAAAAGAAAATTTCTTCAGAAATGTCACTTAGACCCTTCTTCCACTAAGCTCTTCATTTATTTTATTCAGGAATTCGTTTTGCGGATCGTGGGCCGCAATATGGACAAAGGTATCAGTGTCAGTCAGATTCTACATGCATAGCTATAAGCAGATGTCCTCCCGCAAGAAGAGTACGAAATTCACCGCAATGTTCATACAATGCAGGGTATTACAGGTGGGCTTCTGGTGTATGTTGTAGCAATGCAGCATTTCCACCTCCTCCTCGCCCTGGACCTCCCCTAGTGATGGATACAGCGGCATCGGATGTCAGTTTCATTGATCAAGGAGGTAAATGTCATGGTGAAATTTCATTGTTCAACGTAAGAGGTGATTTATTTAACGATAAATGGTCCATTTAACAACAGTGCTTCACGTATAATTACTTTGCTGGATAGTTTGCACTTAATATAAGTGATAGGCACTTAACTTAAAATTAAATATTTAATTGCATATAAAATTTATAAAATGCCTTTAAGAGTATGAAAGAGGTCAAATATCTGCAGAAAAACACCTTGGATCAAAGGTCTAAACGTACAGATGTGAAATATTTTCAAAAGACGCCTCAGCAAACTTTACCCAACTTGAATCCTCTTTCTCCCCGTGACTGAAGAAGCCAAAGGAAACCGCAAATTCTTTAGCAATAACCTATTTTTGTAGATTTAGATATTCTAGAAAAAGTACCCTGTGGGGAATTATGAATCGACTATGTCAACCTTCATCTATCAAAAGGTACCTCAAGATGGATTCAAGTCCAGTCCAGTCCTGTCGGTTGGTCGGGGTGCCTGAGGCCGGAACGGTCCTTTACCCCTTCATCATGAGATGCGGATCCTTGAGGTGTTTCCTTGAGGTCCTTGTTATCTATTGAAAGTAAAGAATTAGTAATGAGCATATTGCTCGAGTAAAATCATACAAGATGATACAGGTTGCATTACAGTAGATTCTAGTTAACATGTCTTATATACTAGTGAATTGGTCTTTCATGTTTATAGCGGTAGTTACGCCACAGTACTTCCTTTCCAGAACTTTTGCCTGTGATAGAATTCGATGAACGATTACCACTAATTGATTCATGCTGTTTATTTATTTATATCATTCTTGATCATTAAATTTTTTCATGAGGGGAATTATAAATCGACTATGTCAACCTTTATCTATCAAAATGTACTTCAAGATAGATTCAAATTAACATGTCTTATATACTAGTGATTTGGTATTTAATATTTATAGTGGTAGTTATGTCACAACCCATCTTCGAATTACAAAATTTCACATTTTGGTTCATAAATAGTGATGACCGTAAAAGGAAAATGTCATACAATTGTTTAACCCGTTCACGCCTGATTTCTAATTTTTTTTTATTAAGTTTTTCTGTTTAGCAAATAGGTTTTGGTTTGGAATCTATTTAACTCAGCGTTTTCCTCGGAAAATCTAATGGGACATATATGTCCCCTAATTTTCGATAGAGTTAAAATAGAGATCAGATGGGATACCATATTTATGGGAAAATTACAAACCAGATGGGAAAAAATAGGCATGTTTAATATTATGAGAGAACCTCAAAATGTTACCAAATTCTACCTTACATGCTCTACGTTGGCCCAGAAGGGCGGGAAGGGGTCGAGTTTTAGATCATAGAATGCACCCTTTGAAACGAGTTCATACGTGTATTTTTAGATATTAATAACCAATGGATATTTTTCGAGATATTTGGTTATTTCCAATTTTTTTGGTAGATAATAAAAGTTCAAATTTTGTTTTAATAGCTTTAAATTGTTTTCCATTTTGCAGTTTTAATACAATAAAAGCTAGAACGCAAATAACGCTTATGAATTTCGATCTCTAATAATAAATTCAGCTCGAAACTAACATTAAAGCTAATATCCGATTAATTTATACAATGCTGATATATCCGAAGTTTTATTTACTAGTTGAAACAGCCTTATCTGTCGAACACAGTCAAACCGAGTAAGTAAACGAATCATAAGTTGGCAATTAAAACGCTGTTGATATTAAACTTTAGAAACAAAGCATTAACCTACTCTATTTATAGACAAAGTATAAGGTATGTGATAATGCATAACATATTTTCTAACTTTTAAAGTTTCTTCTTTTCATAAATTTAATCATTCCTAATCCATTTTTTAACAAATAAGTGAGTTAATTTATTTTAATTCTATCTTGTAAAGAGCGTATGCAAATATTTCTATTCTCTATAACTGAAACGGTTAATTTATTTTCAGTGTACAAGTATAAATAGTTATAATTCAATGTTATGACAACCAAGCGTAAAAATCTATTTTTAATCTTTTTTTTTCCAACCATATTAAACATTAGCATATACGTTATTAGATTTACTTTATTTTCCAATGAACTTTTTGGCCTTAAATCTGCAACCAAATTATATAAATTTTTAATATGAAATATCGCGAGGTTGAATTGGTTTTTCTTTTGGCAGTGTTTTGGTATTGTCGCATTTAATGGATCTCGATCTCTCCTGTACTCCAAAAGCGTTTAATAAATATCGCTTAGGCAGGTCATAGTGAATTTATCTCCCATGGTCTGTCCCTGTTCACAAGATGACTGACTTAGAAATTCCACTTGGATAACAATATTAGTTTTATTTTGCACCTCGATGCCTGCATCAGAATAAAATTTTTATTATCATTATGATCTTGCTTTCCCCATTTAATTCAATCTACATCAAATGCCCGACATTTTCTATTACGTGCAGTTTGGGGAGGGTTTAAGGACAAAAACCCTCCGAAAAACTACATTACTAGATAGATTAATGAGCTATTGTACGGTAAGAAGGATCTAGATATAAAAAGTTTATCATTATTCACTTTTCGTATTTTAAACAGTTAGAAATCAGAAAATGTGATGATGTGTCTTTAGTAGCTAGGGAAATCGATCAGTCCCACGTTACTAAGACCTATTAATATTTAAATATATTGTCTAGAACGATATAAAAACCCTCTTTCCAAGGTCAATTGACTCTTCTCTATATATCCACCAGCATGTAATGTTCTCATTTGTGGGCCTCCGGCCCTAACTTTAATAAAATTATATGATTCCTGCATTTTCCTGTATCTTTTTCAAGAAGCACTGGCCACCACACTACGAACTTACAATGTGAATTAAAAATGTGAGTTAAAATGTGAAATCTGTTATTTCATAGAATAACGATCATTAAATTATGAAATAAGGCACTCGAAAGTTCTTTGAACCGCTAAATAGCTGTGCTTTGCAATGTCTGTACGCTTCATTCCGTTGCCTTTAGAGGTAGTTATTAATATGATAAATAATAAATTATATCATCCACTTTTCCCCATTATTAAACAATTGGTTATCCACAATAGAGATAAAATGCATTTCTTGGCGAGTGTTTATGATCAATTAATTGTTTATTTCTAACTTTAATGGTCTATCATCAGTTATTTTATAGAATAACTAGGTGAAGTATGAAATGTTTCATCTGTTATACACTTTAACTGACTTGTCTAGTTATTTCATCGAGTATTTAGTTATTCAATGAAATATAACTGAATTATGCACTTTAACGGCAACATATAAATCGAAAGGAGATAACCCCCCTTCGAACATGCATTAAAACTACCCCACTGATTTGAGGTATTTTCTTTTTAATTTAATTTCATGATAAATCTAATTCGACTATGTATCGCGCGTCGACGTCTTAGCCTGTCGCGTTTTCTGCGCATGTGCCTGACGCTAATTTAGTTAATGAAGAATTGAATTTGTTTTATACTGGGAAAAAATTCGTTGAGATGATGACGTCGGCGCGTACTTTGAACCATTCTATAATTAAAACGAATCATTTCAATGTATTTGGTATGTCATGTCTTTTCTAATAGCAAATAAAAAATGACTTTTTCCGCAGGAGTTCGCTTTCCAGGGCGTGACCCGAGAACTAGATCCTATCCTCCCTATTTCGAAAATAATCAAGAGCAGTGTCCAAGAAGATCCAGATGCATAGCCTGGAGTAGATGTCCACCATCAAGACGGTCCAGAGTCCCAAATGACTGCTATTACGAAGGCTATTCCAGAAGGAATCCTGGAGTGTGCTGTGTCGAAGAAAGAAGAAGAACTCTAAGCGGCGAAATTCCAAATGAAATACCACGTTTTCCCGTTTCCACAACTACGTCAACTACTACAACAATGGCAGCTCCAATGAATTCACCAAATGGCCCTGGTACGTAATAAAAGTGCATATAAAACTAGATTATGAATCAATTATTAGTGTCATGATGCAATATGGAGCAGTTTGAAATACTTTTATTCAGTACTTTTAACCTCCTTTTCCCCATTGTTGCAAAGTGTAACATTTCGCCTTGCTGCATGTCATGCTTTTTTATGCTTATAAACCATATGCTAATAGTTCAGAAAAAAATACATGTAGATCATTTTTAAATTGTATTTTCAAACTTTTACTACATTTCTTACAGACGTTTGTTAGTTTAATAATAATAATGACTGTATGAGTACTTTTTTTTTGAATATTTTTATTTTAACAAATATCTCAGATGTCACGCTTCTAAGTTACCCTTTCCTACTCCCGTGTCACAAAATGCCACAGGCTTGTTAAAGCCTTAAAATATCCTTTTCAAGACGTAAATCATTTCAAAAAATTCAATAGTTTTATAAAATTTTATATTGGTTTTTAAAAGAAATAGACCACAAGATTTAACAAATGAATTTTAATGATAGAGTGTGGGTAAAACATGTGTCATTAGCAATGGAGAAGCATCCATTATTTAGTTGTGGAAGCATCCATTATTTAGCAGTCGAAGCATCCATTATTTGCATGGAATTACCTTTGGATAATCAACTTTCATAAATGTTTCCAAAAATGTTTCAATTTGCTCAAAAAGTTCTCGAGATATAGCGAAATACGAAGAAAGTAAAATTTACATTAAAGGGCCCAAACTTTGGACCGCTCTCCTGACCTTACTATGAGGCCCCTATTTCCCAAATTGCGGCTACCCTCTACATTTGGGGGGTCGGAAATCCAAATATCAGTAAAAAAAAAGTATGTTTATTCAGAGAAAGAACGTGTTTATTTCTGATTTTGTAGCTTAAAATATCGTCTGCACTAACTAATTAGCCTATTCGAAGTCACCCTCTCGGAGCATTAAGATTGAGTCCTAGAACGTGATGATTCGATTATTAGATTAAAGTTATTCAGGGTGGTTGATTTTTTTTGGCGCACTGTACATTCACGTACTTTACCAAATTCTTTCTTCAATTTTTTCAGATTGTGGGAGATCTCTTGCGATAGCAGGTATGATGATTGGTGGGTCACCTGCAGGGCAAAATGTTTATCCCTGGATGGTAAGATCATTATAAATAAGTTACTAAAAATTTTGGAGGATAAACTATAGAGTACGAATGATGAAAAGATAACTTGACCTCTGGCAAGTGCAGTTATCATTGTTTTAAAAAGCTAATTATGTGACAAATATTCCAGAAATGCTATATAACTATATAAAATAAAAAGAAATGTGATATGTTTTTATTTTATTTTATAACCGTCGTTGTTATATAGGTAAATAGGTAAGTAATATAGGTAAAGAGTAAAAAGTAATATAGGTTAAGAGTAAAAAGTAACATAGGTAAACACATGTTTAAATGCTTTTTTTTTCTCTAAGAAATCGTCTTTAGTTGCTTTCTTCTACTTTTAAAGTTGATTTTTTTATCTGTTTACTTTTCTATATTAATCGAAAAAAAATTATGGAATAATGCTGTTGATCCATCGTCAACACTGAGAAATTTTATGGTTTTACTCTCCACGTGGCACATCTGGGTTATTTTCACTAAAAAAGTCTCGCATTAAAATTTTTCTTAAATTTTATTTAATAAGCGTCCCTGCACCAGCTGATTGAATTTTGAGCTTGCAACTACCAATGATCACCTCCATAGCCTTGTAATTTTGAACCGAATCCAGAAGACAAGGTAGCTTCTGGATCAAATATTGGTAGAAATTTCCCTTCGTTGAGGACTTTTTTGATAAAATTAACTCACATTTGAGTTACACGTAGAGGAAAACCTCGAAGCCTCCCTGATTACCACGATTACAAGAGACCAATGACCAACGAACCGTCTAACACTGAATATATTTTACATCAATTCTGTGGTTGGTGCGAGTTGGGTGCAAAGTTTGTATCAACCAGCCACTGCTAGGTTTCGAACCTGGTTCACCTCATTGGAGGATGATCGCTCTAACACCTAAACATCATTCATAACCCCCAAACCAAACCTAAGGCATCATTTGTGTCAATAAGTATATGGCGACTTTCTACTGTTCTTCAAAACAAATAAGTGCATTTTCTTCATTAGTTTTGAATTTTAATACTCAACTTAATTTTTTAATTAGTACCTATCAGCAAAATAAATTAAGCATAATTTTTGTCAATTATAGTTTGAAGTTTTTCTACGCGCTCTTAAACGAATTAGTACCATTTCTCCATTAATTTTATCTTTTAATACATACATGTAGTTAGTATAATAGTAACCTTAATAGTAACGATTGCCAAAATTAATTATCATTGGCGTCAATAATAATATTGACGTATTTTAACTTTTATCCTCAACAAATTAGTAATTTCTCAATTAATTTTAGATTTCAACATAAAACTTATATTTTTATTTCAATTACAGTTGATTTTAAAATATCTAGTTTTATAGTAATACGTTTTAAAAATAAACACATGGTTTTAGGTAACCTTAGGAATACTAATTTTGTTACGTAGTCCACCTATCTACAATGATCATGTTGATCATTCAGATAATCTAGTATAACGAAAATAAACACAAAGTATTATGGAAGGCGCAATAAGCAATTTTTGTGATTAGAGCTTTAAGCTAGCAAACATTTGACAAATGTTTCAACCCTAATTCTTTATTTTATTGTATGTACATAGATATATTAAAAAAAAATTTACAATTTTGTTTGGATCATATTTGGTAATTTATGTGCCAAGTATTTTGAAACTTAAATCTTTTTACAAAATTTAAACAGTTTTCTTACCTATTAATAACAACAAGGAGAATACAATATTACTCTCTATTTAAAACATTACTTTCTTCATTATTCATTCTTTATCTTAAACATTATTTATCATTAACCTAAAATTACAGATTTTTAGCTAATTTTATGTGGTTTAATATTTTTATATTTTAGTACAGGTTGCAATTACTACCTTGGATGGAATTCCAACTTGCACAGCTTCTCTCATTGATCGTACGCACGTTCTAACTGCAGCTCATTGTTTCGATACTAACGGACCCATAGAGTAAGTATTGCTCTTGATTGAATGGGCTAAGTTTGTTTTTGCATAAATTAAAAAAAGTAATGTAGGTAAACACACGTTTAAACGTTTTTTAAAACATAGGGTTTAGTTGTTTTCTTATACTTTAAAAGTTTTTTTCTATTTATCGGTTTAATTTACAGCACTCGAAGAAAATTTATGGCATTATGTTGTCGATCTCCTTGGCGTCAGGCTAACACTGAGAAAGTTTATAGGTTTACTCTCCATGTGTCATATCGGGCTTAATTTCACTAAACAAGACACCCATTAAAATAATTTCATTGAATAACCGCCGTCGAACAGTCAACTCAATTTTGAGTTTGCGACTACCAATGCTCAATTCCGTAGCTTTGTAATTTTGAACCGAATTCAGGAAACAAAGGAAATCCTGGATTATGTATTGGGAGAAATTTGCCTTCGTTGAGTACTTTTTTTTGATGGAACTAATCCGCGTTCGCACAAACAGGAGAGGAAAACCACGAAAACCTCCAACGGTTAGCCTGACTGATGGGGGATTCTAACCCATAATCCATCCCCCACCTAGGATATTTTGCGTCACACTATGCTCGGTGTGAGCGGAGTGCATCTGCCATCGCTGGGATTTGAACCTGGTTCACCTCATTGGGTTACGAGAGGCGTAACCCCTGAGCCATTAAGATAGTTTATCGGATACGGGGTGACAAAAAATCTCGAAAGATAGATAAAATTTAGCGGGATCAAAGATGTTAGGTTTCAGGTACACCTTGATCAATATCGGAAATCTAAGAGATCAAGTATCTAAGATATTTAACATCTAAAAGTAAACGTGTGATATAGATCAAAAATATCAATTTAGATCAAATCTAAAGATAAACATAGGAAGTATCTTTAAACGATGCATTCAAAGATACTGAATTCGTACACTAATCTCCCCCACCCCCCGATGGTCCGGAATAAACCCTATTTAATTAATACAGATTTGAATTTTACTTATAAAGCTAATCCCGATACATATACAGACTATTTCACTTGGGTTTATAAGTGACCCTGCAACTGCAAAATGAGATGAGGTATAAATAGATATTTTTTGACACATGCTTGTGAGATCGCGAAAATAAAAAGTCTTGCTTAACCCTTTTTCTGCCGGATTTTTTTTTCGAGTTTCAGACACACACAAAAAGAAAAAAAAACATTTTATGTATTGCTGAAAATTAATATACGTTCTATCCTAAATTCGAAAATGCAAAATATTTTTTTCAGCAAGCAATTCTTTGCTTGACCTACTGATGGTGAAATATGTGATCTCCCGTCCACTTATCTCCAGTTTTACCTGCAATGTACCCAAGTTTTATCGTAAAAAAGACACTGTGATGATAACATATTTATTAACCGTCTTGCTTTTAGGTGTTTAACATAAATATCTGAATAAAATAACAATTAATTTTAATAATTTTATTCAGAGAAAGAACGTGTTTATTTCTGATTTTGTAGCTTAAAATATCGTCTGCACTAACTAATTAGCCTATTCGAAGTCANTATTAAAATTCTGCATAAAATAATAATTAAAATTAATTATAATATCTAAAATAATAATTATTTAATTATTAAAATTCTGCATAAAATAATAATTAAAATTAGTTATAATATCTAAAATAATAATTATTTTAATTATTAAAATTCTGCATAAAATAATAATTAAAATTAATTATAATATCTAAAATAATAATTATAAATAATAATTAAAATTAAAAATTGGAATTATTCAAAATAAAATTATTTCATGATATAAACAATAACATAAAATAATAATTATAAATAATTATAAATAATAATTAAAATTACATCATAACTATTTCGGCATGCAACGATAACACTAGTGAAAGTACAGAATTTGAGAAAATACGGAAAATGCAGAGAAGCGAAAATACAGAAAGTACAAAATGATTATGATTTCAATTCAAGGAGGGAAATCTCATTGAGGAAATTGTGAAGAAAGTGGGACTAGTTGCGCTATCTCTTAGCAATATTCAGAAATACAAAAATAAATGCGGGATTTAAATAGACGTGTAAGTAATGACGAATTCAATTTCAGTGAAGCAATTTTTCTCTTCGTCGACGTCGACCATACAGGTACGTTAACGCGAAGCGTATGAGATGCGACGTCGACAGAGAAAGGATTAATTGATTTTCTTGCTAAATAAGCAGACCAATTTAAATTTGAATTCTGCTAACAAATTTTCATGATGCATGTGAAAGATATCTTTCCAATCCTTAGTAAAATAAAGAACAGAAAGAACTGAAAAATATGAATAATATTTTCCTTTCGTTTTGCTTAGCATCACTGTAAAAAACTGTCTTTAATTTTCTTCACAGCACGAAGATTTATGCTTTACGTATTGGAAATGTTGATCAAAGACTGGGAGACCGTTATACCATAAGCAATTTGGCGATACCAAATACTTACCGAAATGGACGATATTACAGCGACGTTGCAGTAATTACTTTGGACAGGCCAGTCAATTCACCAGACTTCATGCCCATATGCTTACCAGATTCAACTTTCAGGAACTTCACCAACAGAGGTGTAACTCTTGCTGGCTGGGGCTCCACAAGGCATGGTAAACAACTATTGATTGTAATATACAGTATGTCTATGAAAAGAACTCCCCATCGCCATTCATCTGGTAGAGTGGCGGTAACTATGGTTACGTGGTTTAACTATTTCAAGTAAGGGTGTTAGGTCAATAAAGACAGGTTTTGACTTTAGTCAGAGTGAGAAAGGAAATCAGGGGAAAGATAAGCTCCCCTCTTTGTGAAATGTGCTTGTTGTTTCCATCGTAGCAGACGACCTCATACTAGGGGAGTTCTTTCCATCGACAAACTGTAACTACTGAATCAAAATAAATTCGATGCAATCTTAGAAATGCATTAAAGGGATTCATATTATCGTTGCAGTTGTATCTCTTCTAAACTTTATAAGGTTTATCTTGGAATGGAAACATATTATACATAGTTAAAATGAAGTTCTTTTTTATATAATATGGAGATTTTTCAAACTTACATTAGATCCTGTACGCTTATGTACGTAAGAATTGAAACAACTGCGCATGCTAGTGTTTCTTTTCTTCTTTTTTTTTAGATCCTACGTACCTTTACGTTTTGTTGGCCTCGTTTTACAAAGCTACAAGCATGCTGTTCATATCTGTTAAATGACGTTTTATATTTAAACCTACCTTAAAATTTACAACACGGACATGTTACCTGATAGTTGAAGAAGAGCGCCAGTATAAAATTAAGATGGAGGGTTCGTTATTACAAAAATGTTACAATGAATTGTGTGTTACAACAATTGGTTGATTTCATTAAAAAAGTATATAAATTTTATCAGTTTTAGTTTAAAAGTACGGTTGTATGATTGTAGGTACATAAAAAGATTTCTTTTTTCGTTATTTTAAATTATAGCATATATTTACTTAGATACATAGTTACTTAGATACTTAGATACTTTACTTAGATACTTACTTAATATTTAGTTGGAAGAAATTCAACTTCTATAGTATCCACATTCATTGTATGCATTGTATGCACATGCTTGTTCTGATCAGAGTTACTAAGACATTCCTCTACTTTAGCGTTTTTAACTAACGGGATTTTGCGAAATCTCTTTTCTAATTCACCACAACTTAATATTTTTTCATAGAATTGATGCATGCATTTCTATGCACAATGACTTCAAATCCTACATACGGGAGCGTTCGGAATGTAAAGTATAAAAGTGCGAAATCTCCCTAATATCCTAAAAATTAACTGTCGTTGTTGTCGTTTGCCATAAAGGCAGAGGGGGTGTGATTGATCTTGTTTTCTAGTGGCGCCATCTATGACAAAGAATTTGACTTCTACCACACATATACGTCACAGCCCGTTTTAATCGAAGAACCAATAATAATCTATTCATTCATCCACAGATCGTAATTTTGACCTGAGCCAGAGAACGATTAATCTCCAATTCAGTACCCCCAGAGGTTTTGATTTGTTATAGGAACTTAAAGCACTTTGCGACCCAGACAGATTTAACTAGCATCAGTCTCCATTAAATACACGCTGATTTTTTGCAAGAATAATCGTACTCATGGTGGCACAAACACGAGACCACCGTCCTACTAACCAGGCTATCCCGGCTAGTAAGGTTGTAATAGATTTGATCAATCAATAGTATGATTGTAATAGAGTTTTCATAATTAAACGTTATAATTAGTATATTTAATTAACCGCTTAATAATTAATAATAATAAATTAATTGTGTAATAATTCACGATAATTAATTAATTGTCCTTTAATATAAGCTAACATTTTTAAACTATGTGTGTCTTTTGTATTTTTAATGCTCGCAAATTCTGTGTTTTCTGATGATAGGTGGGCCGACATCAGATATTCTTATGCAGCTAAATGGTGTGTCCGTTGTTTCTACCTATCAGTGTAACTCAATCTTCGGAAGAGGAATATCTGGTTTTAATTCTCAGTTTCCTAGTGGAATTGATACTAGTTTTATTTGTGCGGGCTTCTTAGAAGATGCAAGAGGAAGAGATAGTTGCGGAGTGAGTTTTTTTTCTTCAATAGATATAAATTGTTAAGAGTTCACAATAATTTGTCGAAGCAATATTATAAATTATTATAACAAGTTAAATACGGGAAAAGGCAGAATTGTAATATTCTCCTGAGTAACATTTAATAAATAATGGTAGGAATTGGGGGGGGGGGGGGTTTGNGGGGGAGTTTGAAGTTTAGAAGAGTAAAAATTCATAAATGCAATTAAATATTTTAAAAAAAATCTGAGTTAACGATTAAGCTTAGTTAACGTGTTTTAAATTTTTTCTTCTTCTTTTTCTGACATGGTTACCCTGGATGGACCCTGGTCTTCTCCTGAAGTCTCTTCCAGGTGTTTGCATAAAAAATGATAAATTTGATAATTTTCAGCGTTTTTCGTATAGTATAGGATATTTTTACAGTGTCCTCTCTACATTTTCGTCAAGAAACGAAATCCATTAGACTCAAATGAAAAGATATGTATATGTCATAGAACTTTCTATCTTGAATCGAATTTCTTACTTTTCTTATAGTTTTTCATTTTAATTAAACACTCGGGAAAAGAAGTTAAACTCAATTATATGTTTAAAGAGACAATATTTTTATATGCTTAAAGAGAAAATATTTTTATATGCTTAAAGAGACAATTGTATCTTTAAAAAGACACATACTATATGTTAAAAGAGCTTATATTTTCACATGTTTAAAGAGACAGTTATATATTTAAAGAGGCAGTATTTTTATGTTTAAAGAGACAATATTTTTATAAAGGGATTCAAACAGATTATCTTAAAATATTGTTTTTCAAGTATTAATTCTATCAAATGTTATCCACTAGAAAACAGTAACAGTAACTGGTAACAGTTTCGTATTGTACATGAATAACAATTTCTGGTAAAAAAGAAAAACATTATTTTGATTAATAAAACCAAAATATATAGCATTTAAACCATTTATTTGGTAATTTTTCCCTTCGTATGGTAACGGCATACCAAAAACTCATGTTTTCAAAATTTATTTATACCATACATTTTTCTTATTGCCACACATTAAGTGAAAATAATAACATCTGAAATATATTTAACAGAATAAATGTTTTTTTCTGTGCCCCATTCTAAGGTTTCATGATATAATTACGAAATTTTACTACATTAAACTTAATTTAAACACATAATATAAAACTATATTTTATAGTTCATTTTGCAAAAATCATTACCAAAGCGTTTGGGTCAAAATTATCATGCTTTTTGGTGTTTCCATAGAGCGAGAAAAATTACCATATACCAATTTTACCATATTTTGACCGTAACTTTCCCCCCCTCAACGTTGCCACTTAGTCTTAAGAGGACATTCAAAAACAGTTTCTTTACCGAATTAAACTCATGGTAATTCGTTATTGCTTTAATTAAGTAAAATAATCATTAGGATCGACTTTCAGCTTTATTCAGCAAATAAACTGGAATTGATTATTTTAATTCTATCCTTTATTTGATAATGATTCTTCATATTGCGATATTTTTTCCCCTCAGTTAAAAGAAAAAAACCATTGTCACTAAAGTTTTCATGATTACTATGATTTAGATTTTAAGGATGCTAAAAATACGTATCAAAACCGGTGCTAATGAAACATTTAGTAAATCATTATTATTTTGCGTATCAATCAATAGTCATTTTCGTCTCAGAAATTATATTTTCAAGGTTTTTTATTGTTTAATTATGAAACTAATTTTTAGATTTTAGGAATGCTAAAAATATATATCAATACCAGAGTTAATGAAACATCTAGTAAATTATTGATATTTTGCATATCAATCAACATGCATTTTTGTCGTAGAAATTATATTTTTATGGCTTATAAAAATAATGTTTTTCTGTTTAATTATTAAACTAATGCTTAGATTTTAAGAATGCTAAAAATACGTCTCAAGACGAGCGGTAAGGAAACATATAGTAAATCATTGATAATTTTGCTTATCAATCAATATGCATTCGTCTTAGCAATTATATTTTAATGGCGTATTAAAGCAATTTTCTTTTGTTTAGTTATTAAACTAATGTTTAGATTTTAAGAATATACTGAAAATATGTCTCAAGACGAGCGCTAAGGAAAAATCTAGTAAATCATTGATAATTTTGCTTATCAATCAATATGCATTCGTCTTAGCAATTATATTTTAATGGCGTATTAAAGGAATTTTTTTTGTTCAGTTATTGAACTAATGTTTAGATTTTAAGAATACTGAAAATATGTCTCAAGTCCAGTGCTAATGAAACATCGGATAAATCATTGATATTTTGCTTATCAATCAATATGCATTCGTCTTAGCAATTATATTTTAATGGCGTATTAAAGCAATTTTTTTTGTTCAGTTATTGAACTAATGTTTAGATTTTAAGAATACTAAAAATACGCATCAAGTCCAGGGCTAATGAAACATCTGATAAATCATTGATATTTTGCTTTTCAATCAATGCGCATTTTCGTCTTAGAAGTTATATTTGTATGACTTATTAAAATAATAAATGTTTAATTATTAAATTGATGTTTTATTCTTCTTCAGGGTGATTCTGGCGGACCTATGATGGTTTCTCAAGGCGGCCGGTGGTATCAAATAGGAATATTATCATTTGGTCACATGAGATGCGGTGAACCAGGTTATCCAGCAGTCTACACCCGAGTATCGTCTTCCATGAATTTTATATTAGGAAATTTATGAATATATGTATATTATTTAAATTATTGAAATTAATAAATTTGTTCGAATCTAACTTGACAAATGTGCAGTGCAGTTACCACTGCAATAATACTATTCCAATTCCCTAGTGTAGGACATGTTAACTGGATTCTATCTTGGAGACCTTTTGAAGGTTGACATAGTCTAGATCCCCACATTGGTGACTTTCGGACGCGATCTCAACGCGCCTAACTAAACTAAACTAAACTCCGTGGCGCAACAGCCCTCAGAGGGCCAAGGCCTACTGTGCCTATCTCGGTTTTCTTGATCTTGGACTCTGGGGTGCAGGAGCAGATGTTCCGGTTAGGTGGTCAGCCAGACGTGGTACCCCCAGTGTCTAGTCCCCAAGCATACATGGTACTCATTTATCGACCCACTGAAGGGATGAAAGGCTGAGCCAACCTTTCCCGGCCCGAAGTCGAACCCAGGACCTGTGGCACATGAGCGCGCACTACCACTCAGCCACCGGGTTCTGAACGCGCCTACCTTGGCAGTAACTCCGACTTTTGATTTGAACACGCTTACTTGGATGAATGATACATATTGAACAGTTGACTTGCTATTTATGATTGCGACATAGTCCTCCTCGCACTGTTGCTACTCAGACTCCATCACACACCACTGGAGCTTGTTGAACAGCACAGGAGCAACCATGTGCACAACCGTGAGCTTAATACAGCTCTCACGACCAGAGATCTGAGTCTGGTGAACTTATTATAGCTCTCCCGGTCTTTCGCAAAACGACAATGAATCAACTAATGATGTCCGTTTACCGAATTCTACGTCATATAAAATTCTGGTGGGTGAGAAATGTGGTATAACTATCACTACAATAATGCAATTCCAATTCACTAGTATATAAAACGTGTTAACTTGATTCTCTCCTCAATGATGTCCAAGCCTAATCCTACAATTCTGACTAGACCTTTCTATTTGCTGATCACAGCTTGCTGTGATCTTTTTTCTTTTTTTCCTTTTATTTACTGATTCTCACCAACCGAATCTATATCATCGATTCTACACTTTTGACGAATCAGTTAATGCAGCTTTCTGGCAGTGTACCAAGATTCGCTCCATTTCCAAAGTTCCAACTCGATTCTATCTTGGGATATCTTTTGATAGATTAAAGTTGATATCATCAACATTCTAGCCTTCACAAATGACAAGTTAATTTAAGGTTAAAGGGGTTTTCTTAAATCAATTTTTGTAATTATTAACCAATATTTGTAACATTTAAAATTTAGAGTAATTATTGACAGTTTCTGAATTTCGCTAAACCGTTTAGATAATTTTTTTGCTAGCTAAAATTTTGAAATTTAAAATCTAACGAATTTTAAAATGTTTCACGCGAATTGGTTTGGGGAAGTTTTAATCTGAAACTCTTAGTTGCATTTAAAATACATGCATAATAGGTGACATAATCAAATTCAAATCACACATTCAAAAATTTTTCGTGGAATAAAATAATTTTCATTTGAATTATATTCTTTAAGAAAAATCACGAAGCTTTCTTAAATTTACATAGATTGGTCACACGTTTATGAAATATGTTGTTAAATTTAATTTGGTGAAATGTGAATGTTGATTTTTTAGGAACATAGATGATGCACTCTGTAAACAAAGGGGTGGAATTATCCAAATAAGGCTGATGATCAAGCTTAAAAAATGTGTTTACGAAAACGAGTTATCTTAAAATATCAAGTGGTAAAAATTTAAATTCAAAAGTGCTTATTTGTCGAAATTTTACTTAAGTAGAAGACTACAATTGTTTGTTTGAGTTTCTTAATTACCTGAGACTACTTCCCTCTCTTTTGTTTCCATTGGTGTGCAAAAATAATGGTAATATTCCATGAAATTTTTTTTTATATATATTGAAGTGCTTCCGAATATTTTTTCGAAAAATTCTAAAAACATCATGTGTTGCACAATCGAAAACTATAATTTGCCTAACAGTTTTCTTTCTTTTTTGTTAAAATATGCTGTGTGCGTAGTTTAAGTAAAAAAACATGGCTATGTAACTTTCGATTTGTGAATCCTGAATTCACTAAACGTGTAGTGGAGGTAGATGGAAATGTTACGTGCGTTCAGTCAAGTCTTATAAAAAAGAAACCTTTCACATGTATTACCATGAATGAAAATGTTTTAGTAGTCCGAACGTTGTGACAGTTGCCTTTTTGTTTTATTCATTTCTCAATTAATGCTCTACTAAATCGATCCTTGTGAAGGTCTTCTCTCTTCTAGGAAGTGCTGACTCAGAGCAATACTGAGCTCTGTAAATTCATGCTGTTGTCCGAAGTCATCTTTCTTGCGAAATCAACTTTTATGACGAGTTCTGAAAATGAGTGTCATTAGAATAGAGAAAAGGAGTGCTATCAGATTTTACTTCGAACTTGGTCACATTACAATGGAAACTTTCGCAAAAGACCCAGCAGGTCTATCAAGACAGTGTTTTGTTAAGAGTCGAGATTCCGTTGGTTTAAGTTATTTTCAGAAGGAATAGAATTGATAGAAAATAAATCATGCAGCGATAGGTCTCCAACCGCTAAAATCGACGATAATATCCATAGAATCCGGGTTCTTGAGTTTCCTGACTATGTTGAGTTTTCTGTCTGTCAAAATGATCGGACAACAGTTGAAGTCAAATCACATCAGCATTCATGAAATTCTGAAAAATGAGTTGACTTCGTAAAAAGATCATGAGACCAAACATCAAGAACAATTAGATTCTGCATCACAGAAATGTGGCCTGACATCACAGTAATATCAATAAACGTGTTTTTGGCTGGTAAAAGCATTCTTATACTAAAAGTCTCAAGTCATCTGACCTGATTCTAACTAATTTGAGTTTTTTTGGACTTTTTCCTTGTCCCAAAATTAAAAATTCAACTCAAGGAACGTAATTTGGGACACTGAAAAACACTTAAAAAGACTGTAACTGATAAGCTAAATGTTATTCCAGAGGGTAAGAGATAAAATATTCGCAGTCGAAATCTCGGTGCACAAAACTTCACGGACATAACTGCACGTGGACAAAACTTCACGAGGACAAAACTTGGGGCGGATAAGACTTCGCGTAGACTGTGGCAACTCAAGCCACGAATAAGGTTAAATCCCCACAAAAGGGATTTCTACTAGGCGTCTTCCCTAACCGAGGGAGAATTCAATCAGAATGAAACTTGAACTGGCGAGATAAACATCTCGTGGAATCGGAAAAATCCGATTTGAATATATAATGCATAATCAGGAAAATTTTATGTTTATTTGTGTTTATGTTTAGTGTTCCTATTGTTATGTTTAAATAAATATATAAAAAAAGGAAAATTTGGAAAATTATTACGGAAATACGGACATGCTATCACGATTGAATGGCGCAACCTAAAGGCTTGATAAGTAAAATATTACATAGACAAAAGCTTACGTAGACAAAATTTCACGGAAACATAAGTTAACGTAGACAAAAGTTCGCGCGGATAAATTCTAAAAACAATTTACGTTAAACTATAATTAATTTATGCATTAATTTTAATAAAAAAATATTTTATCTAATGCATAATTTTAATAAAAGTAAAAATTATAAATTAAACTTTTTTTTATTTTAATATTTAAGTTTAAATAATATAATGAAAACGCTTAATGCTAAGTTAGAAAAGAAGTCAATGTTTTAAAGCTTTTAACTGATAATTAATTTGATTTAAATAAAAGTAAAAATATTTAATAGTTATGGATTTGCGAAGTCTTGTATCCGAGAAGTTATGGATTGGCGAAGTCCATAACTTCGAACATACTAAAGTAGTTATGGATCGGCGAAATTTTAGACACTTTAAGTTACGAATCGGGGAAGTTTTGACTTCGAACCAGTGTCAAGAGTTCCAACAATGTTATGACGAGTGGAAGAACTGTTTCTGACTCTGCGTGGATTTTCACTGGAATTATTTCGATGGAGTGAATATCGATACGCAATTTATACGAATGGAAAATATTTATCACATCAATCGCATTTAATTTGCCCACCTCTTTATCAGTCAAACTATTTTAGTACTTTTCTGCAATCTTATTTCTTTTCCTTAGGAATTACGATAAAATCGCTCTGCTGCTGAATTAATCTCTAACATTTAGGTTAACTTTTATTAATTTTTGGGGCAAAAACTGAACGTTTATTTATTTATTTTTTTGTGGATTTTCTAAGGTCACAATATTGCTTATTAGGGAGGAATTTTCAGACATATTTTTGAACATTCTAGCAATAAAATCGATTGAGTATTTGACATTTCTGAGGTTTTATAGTTGTGGCACTTTCATAGATTTAGTGCACGCTATAAGGTTAATGCTGGGTCGAGTGTTCTATTTAAGGAAAGAACCAGAAAGAAGTGAAATCGCTACATCTTTGAAAGGATTTTCGTATTTAGTATATTTCAACCACATGTATAAAATGTTAACTTTATCCTATAGGGTGAAAATGCTGTAGAAATAAATAATATATTTACATTAAAGGTCCGAAATAAATATTTAGACAATCAAAAAATAAACAAAATCGTATCGAAATCTGATGAAAGGCTCTAAAAAAATCAAAACCAAAAATTGTGTTGTTGCTAAATTTCGTTCACATTTTCTTTATTTCCTCCGGCAGTCAAACATGTTTGGATGTTTATTTTTGGTTACGCTGTTTATGCTTTTTTTTTCCTCTCACTTGAATGTTAACTTATGACCTTTAATGAACTATCAGTGTTTCTTCATTTTGAAAAAAATTCTAAAAATATATATTAAGAGGGGTGATTGACGAAAACCCCGTATATTTGAGCTCTGAAGAGACACAATGACATAATAAAATAACATATTAATTACGAACTACGAAGATTGCATCTTATTATGCGATATTCCGATTATTACTCAAAAATATTTGGATGTAACGTTTTTTTCACACTGAATATTTTAAGATTTTGCGTATAAAAGGAAAATTTAATAGTTGATTTAAATAATTGACACAAAATATGTTTATTTATAAATTAAATGAATTTTTGTTTTACATGACTTATGAAATGATAGGCATAATGTACTTTATTTTACAGTCTGTAATATAATTCCGGGTGCATCTTGTGGCCCTTTGATGTTTCTTAAGTATGCATAATATCCCAAGATTCCAAAAACGACACCCATTAGCAATGTCACAATAGCAATAGCAGCCAATGTACCTATAAAATATTAAATAGTCAAGGTTTCAGTTATAAACTGCATTAGATATAATTAACTCATTTCTAGTTAATTAATTCAGTTTTACTCAATTGCACTCATAGTTACGGAGAAATTATTAATTAAACTAACTAACAAAGTGAGTGCTTTACTTGCAACCAAAACTTAGAAAAAAACTTTCTAAAATGTGATACAGTAATGAAACTGAAACTAAAAGTATTTATTTTTTAAGAGAAGAGGAAATAAAGTCTTTATTTTGCTTTTTTATTCTTTTTAAAATTACCATAGGAAATTCAATAATTATTCCTTTAAATTTCTATACTTTTTAAAGTTTCAGCATTAAAATTAACCATTAAAAATAAGGTTAACGGTAAAAAATGTTTAGAAACGAACAAATATTGCACTATCCAAAAAATTCACTTCTAAAAATTGAATGAATAAATTTTAACCCTGATTTATTTTAAAAAAATACGTCATAGTGTTCAAATAATCGTAAATTATGTTATGAAAATTGCTACTTTTAACAACATAGAATAAAAGTAACTAATAACAATATTAAAGGATGTTTTTCAAAAGATTTTTAGCAACACAAAATAAATTATAATTCTATTATATGATATGAAACAGGATAAAAGCGCATATAAGTTTACAAAACATTAATTAAATATTTGAAAATCAAATCAAATGAAAATAAATGAAATAAACACTTGCATTTTATTATTCATATACAAATATTTCGCAATTACCACTCTTTACATTTCTTTTTAATTATTTTCAAAAGCAACGGAAAAAAATTATACACTTTACGAATCTTTAATCAAGCCAGCAAAAAACAAAGAAATTTTTAAAATCTAACAAATCACTATTGAGGAAGGCTGTACTTAAAACATAAAACCAATTTGGCTATCTGATGAAACTTTTTGTTTGTTCGAATCAGCATTCATTTTCTCTCTATTTCTTCTGGCAATCAAACAGGTTTAAATGTTTTTAGTCAACCCCCTTTTTTCTGTTTATTAATTTGGCAGAACACCCTCCACATATAAATCTTGCGAGAAATTGTTTTGTTTTAGTTGTTTAAAAATTGCTTAGTTTAGTTTGTTTAGTTTTTGAGATAACTTTCGATTTTGTTTAAAATCATTATATCTCACAAAAATGTTTTTGTAAGTTCGATTATATATGTTTGAAATGCATTTTTATTACTTATATATTTATTTTTATACGTTTATTTATTTCAATATGTTTATTTATTTCGCATACTCAAAAAGTAAGATTTCAAAGATTTTTAAAAAGTCAGATCTAAGAATAAATTTTCCAATTTTCAAACTTAAATTTCTTTATTTATGCAATTAAGAGTTGATCAAACAATATCCTGTTCAGAGTAAAAGTAAAATGTTGCAGAAATTTAAATTAATTTTTATACTAATTTTTTTTTTCTAATTAGGCAAACACTTTCTTTTTTGATCATCATTACAATCAATTCGACTTCTTTTTTCTTATGAAAATGAAAATTAGGTTCTTTTTTAGACTCATATAAAAAAAGGAGCATAAATTTTTCATGGATTCAATTTACTTTTTAGTGTGTGTTAGTTTTTAAAAGCAGCTAATTTTAATTTTTTTTAATTAAATAATTGAATTATTTTTTTAAATATAATCTGAGTTGATATTTAGCCAAATGAGAGCCACGCTGAAAAATTTTATCATTCTAGCGAAATTGTTTTTTTTATTTCATACTTTAAAAAAAAAACTAAGTGAACAGGACGGAGGAGAATAATTGGGTATAATATAGCCTACGTCACAGGTTGTGTTGTTCCTACTAAATTTAACCCATGAACGGCATTTTCTGCGAGCCTAACTTCAAGCCACAAATAAACAAACGAAGTGTTCGATCGTTTAAATAGCTGCTCGCCAGATTTTATTGCATTATAAGGAAAAGTTATTGAAACTAAATACAACTAAATAAACAACAACAACTAAAACAAATAACAACAACTACTAATAACAATAACTAAATAAACAACAACTAAATTCCATTCGTTTAGCATTGCGTCATATGTTGTTCCTACTAAATCGAAGTAGTTGTGTTTTTTTCATATTATTCCCAATTATAAAATCTTATAATATTTTCAGATGTCATACTCAAGTTGGCCTAAAATAAGTTGTTTTTTATAGTAATTTAATATTTTTAATATTCGCGATCGCAACGAACTATAGGGGGCCTTGTTGTATGAGACGCATACCTGCGATTTCTACATGAACCGTCATTCAGTTACTCTAGAGACGTCGTTAATGTAGCATGTAGCATTGCAACGTTCCTTCTTTGTTGTGACTAATTAAATTTAAAAAAGAAAAATGCTTGATATTCTTTCTTATGCAAACGAAAACAAAATGGTATCTCTTTTTATTAGAGAAGGAATATCCAAAACACATCGGAAAAATATTTGTACATTAACAGAAAAAAATATGTATATTCTTATAAGAGTTAAAACCTAATGCCCGAGAAATAGTATTACTAAATTTAATGATATAACATGAAAGGCCCATTTAAACTTTACATTCTATAGTTTTAAGAATCATATTACTTCAAAAATTAAAATGAACAAAAAGTATACATAAGCCTCATAATTTTATGAAATTTAATTTTGTAAACAAAGTTTTTTGACAACAATTTTTATCAAAAAATTTCAAGTTTCAATAAAAATCATTATTTAGAAACTAAGAAACGTAAAATAAAGAATGCTGACGAAACAAAAAAAAAAAAACAATTCTTTTTTGTCGCCATTTTTAGTGCTACGAAAATTCGTCTTTGGGATTTGCCAAAAACAAAACAAGATGCAATTTTATTTTTTCAGGAGGGAAATATTTTACCGAAAAAACGAAAATGTACCAATTCCCACAACATAAAACTTTATCTTGGTAAACGTACGTTTTGGAAATGTTATTTCATTTGGAATCTTATTTATCAGAGTTCATATGGCGATATGATTGTTTTGAATCTATGCTAAACTCTATATCGGCTCATTTTCCACCGAAATCCGATTGACTATTTTGATTTTAAATAAAGTGTTTTATTTTATGAATTGTCGCAAAAATTTTAAGTGTAGATTGGCGGCACTTAAAAACCGCCAAATCTGTAGCGGCGGTGGCGTTAATACGTAAGTACCGAATTTTTATTCCATACTTTTCTGAATCATATTACTTCAAACATTGGAATATACAAGAAGTATACATAAACACATAATGTTATACCATTTAATTTTTCAAAAAAAGTATTTTGAGAACAATTTTTATCAAAAAATTATAAACTAAAAAACGGAAAATAAAGAATTCTTAGGATAAAAAAAACGATTTTAAGAATTCTTAACATTGAAATAAAAACTTTCATATTGTTTCTTTTTTTATTATTCTTATAGTTCTTAATCAGACGTAAAAAACCATTCTGTAGAGAACCATCATCAAATGAAAAAAAAATATTTACAAGCAAATTTTTTATTGTAAAAATCATTGCACTTACCTGATTTATGATTCCCGGAGAATTCCAAAATGATAAGTTCCTTGTTTGAAAACTTTATTCTCAAATAATAGATACATAGTTTATACCTTCATTACTTTTAGATAACATACTACACAGCAAAATTTTATAATTGATATGAATTTGAATATGTAGCTAAAAACAGAATAGCTGAATTCTAGTTGAACTTATTCTTTCAAAATTAAAAAAAACTTACCAAGAAAACGATTTAAATTAATTAAGAATCAGCACAAATGGCACTATTTCAAGTAACTTGGATAATTTTTTATTGTTGTTTTCCGAATTATATGGATACAGAAATATATACTATTCTATAACGAAGAAGAATATGCTATAACTATTACAATTCTGTATGTTCTGAATTCATATTTATTCACTGGAATGACGAAAGCAATGTTGACTTCACTTTAATTCGTAATGAATTGAAGACAGAAGAAATGCATTTTACCTTAATACACACATCTGTAACAGTATCCGAAATCGGAAGTCATCAGTTGCAAGTTTGTTGATAATAGAAATTAAAAATTATTGAGGAATTTTTCTTCAAATGTTTGGCGTGTTCTGTTCCTGAAAGATTTACTAATATTCTGGAGATTTTTTTCAAGTTCTTCGGCCTTTTCCTTAGGGAAATTTTGTTTCTTATTTGCTGCTAAAAAATGGCGTCTGATTCAGTCAATGACTTTGATGGCAGAAAATGTGATTGTATTAAGTTAATGTCCGATATTTACAGGCTCCCGCTAGACGGCGTACTCGAGCGTTGCGATCGCGAATCGTCTGAAACTAAAATGTTTTTCTGCAAGCTAAATTTAAAAATAATGTTCTTTAAATATATGAGAGAATAATATTTACCTCCAGAAGTGCAGCTTGCACGGTCTATATAGAATAGAAAAATCATTTATAAAATATAAATAACACAATTTGCAAAATTATTTTAAAATATTGCATTTTATAAAACAAATCTTGAAAATATTGCTAATTTCCGTAACATAAGCACACCTTTTATGTGGTTCATGAAATGTTATTATAAATACTGCTTAAGAATTACTAAATTTACTCTAGTTACAATATACATTAAAAACACTTAAAATATCTATTACAAAAACTTTTTCAATGTAATTAAAATAGATTTGACAGTAATTTAAAATATTTGCAACCATTACATCTAAAATTTTTGGCTGCATTGTAGCACATTTAAATGAAAAAATAAATAAAATAATAATAAATAATTAAATAAAGAAAAAATGAATAAAATAGAAAACTAAATGAAAAATAAAATAAATGAAATAAAAAATAAGGCAATAAAAATATAATATGGAAAATATAAATAAAAAAAAAATAAATAAACAAATATTGTTCAGATAATTTTTCGTAGGTTAATATGGAATTAAAATCAACTTTTCTGACTTAAGTGGAACCATAAAAAAATTTCAGCTGTGACATAATTTTACAAAGTTTCATGAAATTAGAATTCATATAACACTTAAAATAAAATTCACAAAAATATCAACATTAAATAGCGTAAAAATTTATGCGCTAAAATTAGTAAAAATTTCACCATCCAATTCAGTAAAATTATAGAGTACAATTCTACACATAGATCCCAAAGATAAGAGCTTAATAACTAACATTTACAGAATAAAAACAGTAAAAATACTTACGTCCAACTATATCTGTAATATCTGTCACTTTGTAAATTTCATCCTGCAACAAAAGAAATTATCATGTAATGAAAGTTCAATTTCCCTATCTTAAAAATCATGCAAGCACAAGAAAAAATTAGGTTAGAAAACTTTTTAATTAATCTGTCAAAAAAGGAAAATTTATGGAAAATCTTTAAGTGGACAATTTGATTAAAAAAAGAATAACTAAGCATTTATTTGTTATCTAGGAACAATACAATGCTGCGTCAGAAGGTAACTCATGTTTATTTAATAATTGTTTTTCACAGGTAAAATTATTGTTGCATGTTCAATTAGAATAGTGAACGAATCTGACCCAACTTTAGTTCGATGCAATTTGATTCTATTTGAATTATCATGGGAGAAAATCGTTTTTGTAGCTAATGAAACAATGATACAAATTAACATTTCATATGATACATTTCATATGTAACATTTAATATAATAGAAAGCAGGACTTTATTAAAATGGGAGCAATTTTTTACTATATAACGATACGAGTGGTTCAACGTTATAAAAAGAAACGGACCATGCTGAATAACTTTTGATCTAATGATCGGATCTTCATGTTCCAAGAATCAATCCTAATGGTTCGAGGAAGTGAACTTAAATATGTCAATTAAAGATATTTTAAATTACGAAATCAGACACAAAAACGTACTTTCTCTGATTAAATATACTTTTTTCTTAACGGATTTTGATTTTAATCCTCAAAAGAGGGCAGCCGTAATCTGGGAAATATGGTCCAAATTGTTTAGTCCGGGAAGTGGTCGAAAGTTTAGACCCCTTAATGTCAATTTTACTTTTTGCGTATGTTAAACATATCTCGAGAACTTTTAAAGCGATTTGAAAAATTTATAAAGTTTGTTAAATTTGACGACTTATATCCGATTGTGAGAATTATTGAAGAATTTTTAGGAGTTGTTAAGTAAGGTAAAGCAAAATGTACAAAAAAAGAAAGAAAAAACGGTGTAATTTTGGCTCTACGGGGAAGAAATCAAGACTATGTGAAATAATGCATATGCATTTGATGTCAAAACGACTGTAGGAGTTTAGTGCTACTATAGGAATTTAACTGCATGCATAAAAGCAGTGTATGAATTAACCCTTTCCGAAACAGCAAATTTCGATTGAAAATTTTAATCAGGCAGCACATTGACAAATGCAACCTCGCATTCTATGCGAATGCGCTAAAAATGCGTTAGAATAATGGCTGCTAAAAAATCGGTGAGCATTTTGTAACAAATGGTTTTACATTTCGAATGTTTAGTAATACTTTTGGTGTGTGTTACTGTAATTAGTGTGCTAAACTGGGTACAATGCGCCAGAGAGGGGTAAAACATGGTTGTAGTTTTTTTAAAAATTAAGATATATATTTTTCACTTTATTGACATTAGTTTTCACGATATAGTAGGTACTTTGTCATTCCAGAATTTCAGCAATAAAACAAATAATATTATCATGAACAATGAGGCCGGGATAACCTAGTGCACGCTAAATCAGTCGGGATCACAAAGTCCTCCAAGTTCTCATAGCAAATAAATACCTCTGAGGGTACTGGATCGGAGATAGATCGTACTCAGGTTCAGGTCAAAATTACGATCCGCAGATGGATTGATGGTATGGGAATATGTCATCATTGTAAAACGGGCTGTGACGTATGTGCGTGGCATAAGTCAAATTCTTTGCCCTAGATGGTTCCACTGGAAAACAAGAAGAGCTCTCCTCTTCCTTACAATAGGCTTTTCAGCATTGACACGACAACAGCACATGAACAATAAATGCTTTACTTTTGAACTATGCTAGTTAAGTCTTGAAAAATTAAGATATAAAATCCGTCAAGGTGATAAAGATTACTTTATTAATTTCGATTGTGAGTTTTCCTTCAGCAGCAGCTTTTTCAATCAATTCGTAAGTCTTATACATGTCATGTTCTTTGTTAAGTGCAATGGATTCTGAAATAAAAAGATCAAAATTTAATAATTGATAATGTTGTACAGAGAGCAAAATAGAAAGCAGTTTGAATAGCTTCTGATCTAATGATTGGATGTATAAAATGGGATTTATGTACCATGGATCGCAGTAAAGAAAAAATCACGAATTTACCATGTGAAGTAATGTTTGCTAAATCTATATTTTTTCAACATAACAGTCTGTTTTTTTAAGTTATCCGATTAGTTTCAACAACTTTTTTTAAATATTAATATGAAAATTAAAAAAAATTTTCTTATATGTTTTATTATGTGTAAAAACTTATAAAACTAACAGAAAACAATTACTAAATTATTTTATTTTTTTAAATGGTGATTTTAAGGCAAAAATCAGGCACTTTACGTCTTTACATGCACGCAAAACAATGTAAAAAAAGTCTATCACCCAAAACAAAAGATCCTTTGAGAATTTCACATAGAAGGTTATCAACTATGTTTTGAACTATTTTTTTTAAAGCAAATGCATATACTAGAGTTAGGATCAACATATCTTTGCGAAGAAACATGCGTAAAAAATTAAATCCATTTTTTCTCTCTTAGTCTGTAGCTCAAAGCACGTGTACCCAGGCCATATAATACCCAATAGTATTGTGTATTGTAATAATGAGCATTCATGAAAAATTGCAGACAATTGTTTTAAAAAGAATATGAAATATCATATTTAAGGTGTTCCAAAATGCGAAAGAACCTGATTTTGAGATAAGAGCATTTAAAGACAAAAAATCATTAGTTTATCCAATGGTATCATTTTGGAAAAAAATAACTTTTATCTACTTGCAAATGATTATAGAACAATCAAAAGTAAAGTATTTTTAGAAAACTACGACGACAGGAATTTTAAATTTATAATAATCTCAATTTCAGACATTTTGTCCATAATCATGTTTTTGTGCTAGTATTTAAATTAACCTTAAATTTTTGATTAAGAACTGATATAAAATGCCTCGCAAAGTGTATAGAATTTCCAAACATTTATTTAAAATGCTTGAAAATAAGATGTGAGAGTTTTTGTTAATTGAAAGCTGTTTTAAGTATTAATCATCATTCATAACAATAAATGTAAATAATCGTGGTAATAGTGCCTGAAAAAATGTTTACATTATTTTTTCTCCATTAGAAAGCAGAACTGCATTTCATAAAAATAAGGTAAACAAAAGAATTGTTTATTTCGGAATGTATTCAAAAAAATCGCTAATCATTCTGTAATACGAAATCTATACATTACTGATAAAAACTGATCAATGAAAAACAAATAAAGCGGATATGAAATTCCTACTGTTTACTTATGGGGAATGATGCTTCCTATTTCAAGTAAAAAATGATATAGTTTGTCTGAAGAGCTGCTAAATCTATTTTCAAAAGCAAAAATATTTTTTTTTCTTTTTTCTTTTTATTGTACAAATGCAGCGTATTGTGTTAATTTATATTTTTGTCTACGTATCGTACCAATTTGCGTATGTCTGCGTACCGTACCAAATATGGTACTTATTTTACCAAGTTTTTTTTATTATTTGTCAATTATTCATTCTATTACCCTTATTTTTCAGAGTAGCTAATTTTTCTTTATTCTGATAGTCAATCTATTAGTTATCGTATAAGTTCACATGGCATAAGTCCACATTTTATGACACTCATTAATGCAGATTTTCTGAAAAACGAATGAATGTATTTACTTTTATGCTATCTCTTATTCTAAAAACTTAATTATTAACAAAAAAAATTCTCTTTGTAGAATTTGAAATAGAAATATAAAATTTAATATTTCTTTGTCAACAAAATGACTTTAAACATTAAATAAAGGTTTAAAGGTAGGAAATTTAATAAAAATCCTCGTGTTGTAAGTGGAATAAAAAAAAGTAAGTTTCGTGCAAATTTATGAAGTATTTTTTAAATAAACTTTATAAAATTTTGAACGGAAAAGAACATCATTCTTAAAATGACCATAATCAGGCAAAATACTTTTCTTTTTATTTCTGAGATAAATTGCATTCTTTGCGTACCTGGTATTATTTTAACTATTTGATTCATAATAATGATACATTGATATTTAGCTTTCATAGTACCAAACATTTTGTGCAATTAAATATGTTTATTTCTGAAAAAAAATTACTTATAAAAATTTGCGGCATAATGACACTTTTTTTAAACTACGCCTATTACATATTACAAATAAAATTCAATCACCTATAAAGTAAAATCAAAAAAAGAAGAAAACTTAAAAACATTAGAATTCTTAACTTAAAAAAAAAAAAAAAAANCATAGTTTTAAAAAAAAAAAAAAAAAAAAAAGGCTTTTTCTTGTTAGAAATCTAATATGAACAAATTTTTAAAGAAAAAATATTTCGCCTCTCCAAAAGGAAATAATTAGATAAAACCTGATTTATAGTAGGAAAAAAATACTTATGTTTAATTTACTTTGTTAAGGAAATAAATGTAACTTAAAAGTGGAATTATCAGTGAAATCGTTTTTTATATCATAAGATATTTTCCTGAAAATTATGAAGGTGAAGATAATATTTCGATAAAACCGTTATGTTTAACGTTGCTCAATGTTTGATAAATTATCTTGTTTGATAAAAAAAGAACATGAGTAATAAAAATACAACAATATATTTTTATACAAATAACAATGTATATGATAAAATAACAATAGTAAAAAAATATTATTAAAAACTACAATATATTTTTAAAGTAAAAAAGCAAATTTTAAATTTATAAAGATAATCATTGAAAAATTGAATAAAATAACGTCAGAATTAATTTATATAAATTGAATAGCTTATTTAGCTAAAATACAGTTTTTTCATCTCAAAAACAAAAGCTACGGTAAAAATAAAATAATTAATTTCAATGAAATATTTAAATAAAATACTTAAATAAAATAATTAATATTTAATTTATTACAGATTGTTAAGGGTTTTAAGTATTTAACTACAATTTCTTCAACTATAGTCATTCTCATTTACAAGTAGAGGCAAAATTTTTACTTTCAATACTTTTATGATACGAATTAAAAATAATTTTTGTTTGGAGGAAAAATAAAACACTTTTTACTTTGAAATTTATTTAGAAAAGTAAATTGAGGCATTGATGGAGATGAGACAGATAATGAGATAATTTGAAATAATAATTTATTGATTTATTGTTAACAGAGAAAACACGTATTATGTGCAGTGCGTTAAAAAAAGTAAAAAAATTTTAAAATTTCTTTAACTAATGATCGTATCATGACGTATGAAGATCTTAATGTTTCAATGGGATAAATTTAAATTTGCTAATTATTCGAAAGGAATATAATTTAATTCACGGACGGACAGAATAAAAGTATAAGATTTTTGACTAATATAATATGGATAGGATACATGATCCTCAAAATATGATGTCAGCTGAAATGAAAATACAAATCCATTAATCTTGAACGTGATCGAAAGTTTGACCCTCTTAATGTTCCATATTTTGCAATAATTCTCAAACTATTCAAGCTAATTAAAAAAAAAATTTACATAAATGAGGGGGGGGGGAAGACAAAAACTTCGTTTCGCCGAAAATAATTGCAGGTAAAAATATTTTTTTAAATTCCTCTTTTATTTTTTATAATTAAATTTTGTAATCGGAAAATCANAAAAAAAAAAAAATTTCAAGAATTTACCATGTGAAGTAATGTTTGCTAAATCTATATTTTTTCAACATAACAGGTTATTTTTTTAAGGTATCCGATTAGTTTCAACAACTTTTTAAAAAATATTAATATAAAAATTTAAAAAAACTTGTTTATGTGTTTTATTATGTGTAAAAACTTATGAAACGAACATAAAACAATTACTAACCTATTTTATTTTTTCAAATGGTCATTTTTAGGTAAAAATGAGGCACGTCTTTAAATGCACTCAAAACAATGTAAAAATATTCTATCACCCAAAACAAAAGATCCTTAGAGTATTTTATCTAGAAGGTTATAAACTTTGTTTTGAACTATTTTCTTAAAAGTAAATGCATATACTACAGTTACGGATCAATATAGTTAACAAAGCAAATTTTAAAAAATTTCATCACGTGTCTTTGCAAAGAAACATGCGTAAAAAATTTAATCCATTTCTATTCTCTTAGTCTGTAGCTCAAAACATGTGTATTATAATAATAAGCATTCATTAAAAATTGCAGACAATTGTTTTAAAAACAATATGAAACATCATATTTAAGGTGTTCTAAAATGTGAAAAACCTGATTTTGAGATAAGCGTATTTAAAGACTTAAAATCACTAGTTTATCTAATGGTATCATCTTGCACAAAAAAGCATTTATATCTTTGTAAATGATTATAGTACAAGCAAAAGTAATGTAATTTTAGAAAGCTACGACCACAGAAATTCTAAATTTATAATAATCTCAACTTCAAAAATTTTGTCCATAATCATGTTTTAGCACTAGTATTTAAATTAACCTTAATTAAATTTTAGATTAAGAACTGATATAAAATGCGTCGCAAAGTGTATAGAATTTTAAAACATTTATTTATAATGTTTTATAACTAATATGTATTGAAAATAAGATGTGAGAATTTTTGTTAATTAAATTCTGTTTTAAGTATTAATCATCATCCATGACATTAAATGTAAATAATCGTAGTAATAGTGCCGGAAAAAATGTTTACTTTATTTTTCCTCCATTAGAAAGCAGAATTGCATTTCATAAAAATAAGATAAACAAAAGAATTGTTTATTTCGGAATGTATTCAAAAAATCGTTAATCATTCTGTAGTACAAAATCTATACATTACTAATAAAAACTGATCAATGAAAAACAAATAAAGTGGATATGAAATTCCTATTGTTTACTTATGGGGAATGATGCTTCCTGTTTCAAGTAAAAAATGATATAGTTTGTCTGAAGAGCTACTGAATCCATTTTTAAAAGCAAAAATAAAATGGTTCTGTTTTTCTTTTTATTGTACAAATACAGTGTAT